GCCACTCAGAATGGTTTGGTGTGAAATGCTCCGTTCTAGAGAAACTTGCTCAGAATTGTTCACATTGGTATCAATGTCTAAATCGTTTAATGCCTGTAAAAGGTACATCATAGAGAGTTGTTGTTTACAGTGGTGGTGATAGGAACCAGACATATGAAGTGTTTTTTCTTCTAAAAGCTACCTTACAGAACATAATATGAAATGGTTACCTGAAACCTGAGACATTTTTTACAGTAGTTCTGTGTTACTAGAACACTCCATGGCAGAGAGGTACATTCAGGGTGTGGTATGGGCAAGAAAACTTTTTTTTCCAGATTTATCACTATTTCACCATCATCAATATGGTGAATGGGTATATATATTTTTCATAGTAGACATTAACAACCTCTGGTACATGTCGCCACCACAAGAAATGTGAGTAGGTACGTTTTTCACAACAATGAACCATGTCACATCAGATCACTGAATGAGTTTGTTTACATCTCAATCACTGAATAATGTAGAAAAAAAAATCAGTGGAATTCCCATTTAATAATGGCATCGTTAATAGTGTAATGTAATCTTATGTCAAGTTGTGTTTCGTTTAATGTGTACTTTTAGATCACAAAGAAGCTTGCTGGTCCATCAAAGGGAACAGCACAGTGGCTGACATCTGTTGGCAATGAGAGAGGCCAAATTCTGATCAGTGTGTGACCAGGTTTAGATATGATGGTGAAAGGTCTCACCAAGAGGTATAACCAGGCAGGCGTGCCTCCACCCAAGCTCAGGGGAAAAAACCGGCTTCCTCAGGCAGCTGCTGGTGTTTACAGCAGGAGGTAGATTTGGTGTGTTGTCTTTTCTATTAACAGCTAGAAATTTGTTAAAACAGAAACTGCTGTGAAGAAGCCCCAATGTTCCCATATTGAGTTGCAGGAAAAATAACAAAAAATAAAAATAAGTGTGGTTAAGGTGAGAAATTAAGATGAGCGTTTCAGATAGAACTTAAAGCACGTCTTTAACGGTCGCCATCTTGTACGACCTGCCCGCACAGTGTTTACACCATGATAATGGTCTACGTCACATTAATAATGGACCAATCAGCCAATGAAATGTTAACAGATCAGCCAATAAGGTGTCGTGTTAGAAGGACAGTGACTCTAAATGGAGAAAGAAGAATGGCTTCAAAGTCAGGCAGGGTGATCATAACTGAAATTATGCTGTTATTTTAGTAAACTGTGAAAATGTACAAAAGGTACAAGAGCAAGCCAGAAACAGAGAGTCTTCAGCAAGACCAGATCTGCTCAGAGCTCTGTTCACAAACCTCAAGGGGGCTTAACTGTTAATGTTTTCACTGTTAAAGAGGAGAATATTAGCATAAACACTCTCTAGAGTGTCATCAGAGATAAACTCCTGACCTGCGGTGGAAACATTCAGATCACCTAAACTGGTCCACTTTTCTCTCTTTGGGGAGTTTAGTTAACCACAAATATATTTTTTAGTGCCGTGGTTCTTGTGTTGATGTTCTAGATAAAGAGGAGAGGACCTCAGTTCTCCAAACTAGAACTGATCCACAGTCAGAGGTCCATCTGAGGGCTGTGTAAGCTAAGCTGAGTTCTCTTCAGCTGAAGGAGATCTTGCGGTTTAAACTCAGCGGCGTCTCTTAAATCTAAAAGCCTTTAATTAGTAATGAACTCCAACTGTAGCTGGTGATGAGGAGGGAAAGTGCAGAACTGCGCCGTCTGCTGGCGGCGAGGAGAGACAGTGCAGAACTGCGCCAGAACCTTCTAAGCCGCTTATCCTCCTGGCTCACGGGGGGGAAGGGGGTTGTGCTGGAGCCCATCCCAGGAAGGCACGGCTAACAACGAAATGTTAAAACAGTTTCTAATAACTTACACAGAACTTTCCTTCAATTTTTGAAAGTAGAAGAATGAATTTCACTGAAAAAGTAAAGAAAACTCACCTGTATGTTTCCTTTTTCTACAGCAAACAGACTAACATTACTGATACTGAGAGCTGATTGGTTAGCATTACTGATACTGAATGCTGATTGGTTGGCAAGTGGAGCTGCTCATTGGCTGTTTGTGCTCACTGACATTGTATTAAACTCCTGTAATTTGTGTTTTAAAGCTCTTAAAAATACACCAGCAGCCGTCAGTCATAAACACTAAACCGTTTCAGACAGACGCTCATTTGCAGTTTCACACTGTCTTTTAGTCTTCTTATCTTTCTCTGCCTCCTCACGCTTTCGGTGGACCCTTCCCCGGCCACCCTCATCAGGAGACGCCGAGGACTGCTGCGTGCGAGCGGGCCCCCACGAGCTTTGTTCTCTTAGCTAATTGAGCTCACGAAGCTTCTGCAGCAGGTCGTCTTTAAGGTTGGTTTGAGCGCTAGAAAGCGCCAGTCAATAACCACATAGCTAACAATGATAGAATGATACAAAAACAACCTTCCGAAATGAGTATAACAGGTACTTGTTGCTTACCATCATGTTTCTTTACCTTCTCCTGACGATGCATCATCAAAATATCAGCATACTTCTATTATGTTCTGAGCCGCTATGTGGTCGTACGTCTAAAACTATGGCATACCCTAGAACTGCTGGTCTAGAACTGCGGCTGGCTTTCCTGCTCTGCAGATGGATGATGTTGGTTTGACCAGTAGATAGTGCCAGAGAATTGTGTTATTGTGTTACATTCAGTCAGACACTAGAGGGAGCCAGAGGGGTCTACCTTGAAATTACTATGTCAACCGCAGGGGCTCTAGACACAATGTAATTGCAGTTGACCATGTGTGCACAAATTCACTTCAACCACACAAGGCAATCTGAGCACAGAGCAATTAATCTTTAACAACGTTTTCAATATTGTAATTTTACCACTCTTTAACCGTTCTCCCACTAGTTATTTGCATATGCAGAGCAAATACCATTATCGAAATCACAAAGTGATGGGTCAGACAACAATAAGTTGTACTTTTCTACAATGATCATCATAGGCAGACTGTTTTAGCTATACTCTGTGATTCCCTACTCATCAGATTAACAAGAGGGCGATTTTATTTTGCAATTGGCTATTTCAACTAGATGGCACCAGAGGGCGATGTTAATTTGCAGTACACCAATTTGACCACTAGATGGCATCAGATGGCAATTTTAAATTGCAATACACCAGTTTATGTGTTACAACTAATATAAGCATCACTTGCTAACAGCTAGCATATCATTTTATTTTGTCATACTCTACTTTGAGCGCTAGAAAGCAACAGAGAACGTTGTTATTTTGCAATACACTGAGTCAGACACTACAGGTTTCTACCTTGCAATTCACTATGTCGACCACAGGGGCACTGGATACAATTTAACTGCAGTTCACTCAGTGGGCCACAGGGGTGGCCAAGGACTAATTTTCATGTAAACATCCTAAGTCTGCAGTTTCTTCCTTCGGCCCCCAGATGCATCAACAAGAGCACCTCAGCTAGAACGCTGAATTGAACCAAATACTGGGAATCACACAGACCCCAGCCTCTGTGGCACTTTGCCACACAAGATTTTAGCACAAGATTTCACTTTAACCTCACAAGGCACTTTGCGCGCAGAGCAGTTTCACTTTGTCCAGTTCAGATCAGTTTAAGAAAAAAAGCAAAGCAGGTGAGCCATTTAAAAAAAAAAAAAACAATTTTGTGCTTATTATATAGTAATATATGTGAAGAAATATTTACTAATTTTATGAAAAGCGACACTACAAATGTCACTGTAAATAAGAGTACCTGGGACAAGATATAAGTCCTTATTAGTAGACAATCAGAAGCAGTAGAGTTTGCGGCGAGAACCGAGAAATGGGCAGAGATAAAAAGCTCACGTGCAGCTGCAGAACACATCGAAGCTCATTCTTTGTCATTATGATGAGTTCGATTGTGGTGGGAAACAGTTCGATCCGAAATAAGGCCAATTTAAAGACGTTGCGGGGACAATCAAGAAATGGACAGAGATAAAAAGCGCTCGTGCAGCTGCAGAACACATGGAAGTTCGAGCCTTTCTGTCCTGAGCAGTGCAGTTTCCATACCAGGCCGTGATGGAGCTGGTAAGAACACTCTCGATCGTACTCCTGTAGAAGGTGCTGAGAATTTTAGCTGGCATGCCAGATTTCCTCAGCCTTCTCAGAAAGTACAGTCGCTGCTGGGACGTCCTGATGATGAGGTGCGTGTTGTGAGACCAGGTGAGATCCTCACTTTCGTGGATGCCAAGGAAATCAACACTCAGTAGCAGTAATGCCCGCCTTCTGCCGCCCAAAACCCGTTTGCTGTAGAAAAAAAGGAAACATACAGTTGAGGTTTCTTTGCTTTTTTAGTGAAACACACCCTTCTACTTTCTAAAATTAAAGGAAAGTTCTGGTTCAGTGATTAAAAACAGAAAGCTAAAATAGTTTCTAGCCTTTTAGCTGCATTCACTCCCATTCATTGAGGACTCCCTCGCGGGCGCCCTCTGCTGTTGAGCAGTCCTGTTTTTGATATAACTGGGGGAATAAAAAGCGGCCAGGCTCCTCATAAACCGGCTCTGAGTCAACTTTTCACATTATGTTAAATCTCTGGTAGCTCAGCAGAGGCAGCGTTGCATTAAAGCAACAGCAGCGCCTCCCCCAGGTCGCATCTCGCTATCACAGTATGTTGTAAGACGCGATGGGCGGTTGAACAAAGAACGAGAATAAACTATAAATATTTTGAAAGTAATAATGCACTTTTACTTGGAAGGGGGCTATATTTGGGGGTGAGGGGGTGAGGGGGGGGGGCGTTAAACCCCCCTTTAAACTGGCCTAGCGACGGCCTTGATAAAAACTATTCACATCCGCAATACATGTAACTTGTCTTCTCCACCCTCGTCAGTGTCCTTATGCCCTCATGTCTCTTTGTGTTGTTGTGATTAATCCCCCCTTCCAAATAAATAAACAAATAAACACACACAAAAAACAACAACACATAAACAAAGTTCACAGTCTCTCGCGAGAGAGAACGTAACCCGGAAACAGTCGTGCTCCCTGGTCGCTCAGTGGAGCCCTAGCAGCTCGTCGCGACCGATGTGCTGCTTCGTTTTCTAGCTAGTTTATTTATAAATGCACACAAAAAATATAGTTATTCCACTCATGTGGAGAGAAACGTGAATGTGCTGCTGACGATGCGACCATGATTTCGACTAAAAGCGTGTTTTGGAGCGTTTTGTTTGCAGTGTTTGTCTGCGGGGTGACCGCTTTAGAGGCTGATCCAGGTAAACCAGAATTATTAACCATAAAACGAGCTGAATTCGGGGTTACATTATAGTAAATAATAGACGAATAGTGCAGTAATACCAACGACACAAATGTGTGAGGTTTGGGATTACATTATAATAATATAAAGTTCGTTACTTTGCTAATATTCCGCTATTTTGTTAGAACTTTCCGTTCCACCTTAAATGATGAGGTAGGTACATTCGGGCGCCCCGAGGCGCAAGTATGTAAATGCTGCACCGTTTAAGGTGGAACGGAGAATCCGAATACGAAGTGAACTTGGGCCTCGTACAGTTTGTTTTGTTGCCTGTGTCAGTTATGCACAGATCTGCAGTCGCTGCGCTCTTCTTCAGGGGTTCTTTAGTAAAGGCTTAGAACCATGAGATCTGTATTGAACGATTTCATGCTTAAATTGTTCTTTGCATGGTGAAATGTCTCTTTAGATTGATGGGAGAATGTGTTGTGTATGGTTCCATATAGAACCATTTTGAAAATGGTTCTGTATAGCACCAAAAAGGGTTTTGTTGTTATTACAAGCTTGACATCGTAATTATAGAAGAACCCTTTTTGGTGCTATATTTTCAAAAAGGTTCCACATGGAACCATATACAACACATTCTCCATCAATCTGAATAATGATTTTATTTCACCATGCAAAGAACCCTTTAAGCATGAAATGATCCTATGTACACCTCATGGATCTAAATGGAAGCATTTCCATTACAAAAGAACCCTTGAAGAACCATCTTTTTAAAGAGTGTAGTTTTACTTTTTGATCTTTCTTTCATAAAAGTCACAGACAGAGCAGAATGGCTAATTAGTGCAGTCTTATGACAGGTTCTACACAAGTATATGTGGTACAATGTAGTGTAGTAAAGTGTGGTATTTTAAATTCAGCAAGGAATAAGAAGTGTAATATGTCAAGACTGGGACGTTGCAGCATATGAAATAGCTTTAGAGCAGGCATGTCAAACTGGGGACCTTCTGAGCCAAAGTTTCAAGATAAAATGTCACGTTTCATGTGTGAAACAGTGAGCTTAAAACTCACAAAACGCAAACCTGTTTCAGTTTTTTGAGAGACTGTAGAGAGGAACTGCAGAGAGTGCGGGACGAATCGGCCTAACAGTTTTACATTTACACATGCTGTTTATATTCAATCAATTAGACTGTTCATCAACACTGTACTGAAGTCTTACTCTCTCTGACTCACTCTGTCAGTTATCTGTTGTTTTGTCCACAGATGAAGCTGAAGTTCCTGAATTTCGAGCTCCTGAGGGATTAGACTCGGACAGTGATGGACAGACTCCTCAGTTTGTTTCAGAGGACTCGGATCTTCAGCCTAGACGACAGTTCAAGACTGCAGAGATCGCGGACGCTGTGCTGGGGACCGAGCAGGCTGGAAACACGGCTGGGATCGAAGCTCTCATTCCGAAAACTTGGGAGCCCCCTTTGTTTGACTCATGGGAGCTATGTGATGACGAGCGCTGTAAGGAGTCTGATGAGCAGAAGAATAAAGAGCATACAGAGACTGTCGAGTCAGCACCCATTCAAGGGGACGAACAGAACTCAACAGAAACCGCCAAGACTTACAAAGTCACCTGTGACAAAAGGAGCATCACTGGAGTGGAGAACTTCACAGTACAAGTTCTCAACGCTTCTCAGGTACGATCAAAGATATACATACCTAAGTGCTGCGTTGTCTGTTGTTCTCTATCTGAGGCGATACATCTGCGCGTCCGCCGTGTTGGAGCAATCAAGATCCACTTGTAAACAAATTCACTTGTATTGAGAGACGATGAGTCTCAGGATTGAATCAGCTGCAACTTCCTTATTACTGAACCGATTTTGACCAAGTTTGTTTTGTTATAATCCTCAGGCACAGATTAATCCAGGCTGCACAGATCTGCTCTCGGTAGCTTTTATTACTTTAATAACTGATCGTGATAATTAGCCATCTGGACCAGCAGGAAAGTATTCAGTCTGCACCTGACGTTAAAAAGAGTTTAGCACGAGAAACACGACATATCAGCAAATCCATCAGTGTGTGAATCACTTCTAATCTTAATACACATAAAAATAAAATAAACCCCCAAATCGCAGTAAGAAGGACTAAAGTTGGCTTCCTATTCGCCAGCTTCTTGTTCGAGTTTTCCCATTCCATCTTAAATGGTGCAGCAATTACATTCTGGTGTCTGTAGCTGCACTATTCAAGATGGAACGGGAAAATTCGAGCTAAAAGCTGGCTGATGCACCATTTAAGGTGGAACAGGAAAATTCAAACAACACGCTGACAAATAAGAAGCTAACTTCAGGTTCTTGTAAGAAGGTGCTAACACTAATCTATCATCTGCACAGATTAAGGAATGCTATAACTTACTTAGCTACAAAGCTTTAACCATCACTGTAAATAAATAACTACTACATAAGGTTAAGATCCCCTGAATAGACTATTAAATTAAATAAGCTTAATATAAAACCAGAGGAAAAACAATCACATCAACAGGTTCTCTGTGCTTCATTAACCACATGGCCACATCTACACAAACATCACACAAACAATACGCATCACACAAACATGAGTGTGGATCGCTGCGTTCCCTCTGTTGTATAATCCTATCTTTCTTTCTGAGAGCAATATTGTTGAAACAGTAGAATTTTGGACAGTATCTTTCTTAAACTGTCGGGCCCCAACGCGGCATCTAGGTATGTATATCTATGGGTACGATACTGTCATTCGTCTGCTGTCAGTCAGTGAAGAACCAGAAGCTGTTTGGTGTGGACTTAATGCTCTTTTCCTGAAGTTCACTTTACTAATAGAACATTAAGCATAATCTGCCTCTTAAATGTTTAACTCTTTACAGAAGTTCATGACGTTCCTGCAGCTGGAGCTGGAGCTGTTGCTAATAACAGCACACAAGCAATAAAGTTATAGTGAATTTGACTTTGGCGCATAAGGCTATGAGGCTAAATCATTTTGAGTGACATAGACTTCTGTTATATCTAGGGATGCATCGATATGGCAATTGTGGGCCAATGCTCATATCTGATTTTTTTTTTCCACATACATATTCATAAAATGAATAAATTGAGACTAAATCTACCTGAATTAGCATTTTAGAGAAATATGAATTTCTGTAGAGTCACTAATGCAAGGAAATGTATAAAATGTGGATATTTTGATGCATTATCTGCTGTTACTTATACAATTCCGAAGTTATTGTGCATCTCTAAAAACAACTGTTTTTAGTATTTGTAATATATTAATATCAGATGATTAAATTTTAAATATTAAAAGAATATTTGAGAACGTTTTCAAGAGTTACGTTTGAGAATATTCGTGTATACTTAGTGTTTGTACTTAGATCTTCCAAGAACCTTACATTTCAAACTAGGAACTGTTTAAAAACCTTTATTTTGGAGAGTGTTCTGTCTGACTCTGTTCTGGTTTTTCCTGTTTCCCGAAGGATCTGATGGAGTTCCTGAATGCTAACAGCACAGAATGCACTTTGGTTCTGTTCTACACCACTTGGTGCCAGTTCTCTGCTAATCTTGCCCCTCACTTCAACGCCCTGCCGAGGGTTTTTCCCAGCATGCACTTCCTTGCTCTTGATGCTTCACAGCACAGCAGGTGATCATTAGTAAATCTGTCAGCTCAAAACCATTCAACTAGATTGCAGTTCCTTCTAAGTTTATCTAAGTTTAATTATTTACATAAGTTTCAGAATTTCTTTCAAAAATACACAGAATACAAAGCTGTAACTGAGAGAAGACAGTAGTGAAATATAGATGGTAAAAATTACACATTCAGAGGTATTGGGGACTTTTATGTATTAAAAATAACCTGAAACTTTTATTTTGGCCAGAAATGAGCACATGCTCTGTTTAATGTTATCATAATTGATTATATGAGATTCTAACTTTCCAGAACCCTTAAACTGATTTATTCCACTCATTTACATTTATGGCATTTGTCAGATGCTCTTATTGAGAGCGACTTACAGTTTGATCATTTTTTACTGCGGTAGGTGAAGGTAGTGGTATTAGAAGTCTTGCCCAAGGACTCTTATTGATATAGGTTGATTTTGTGATGAGTGGAGCTCTTAGCTGTTGCTGAGTCGCCATCACGCTTAGTGTTATTCACGTTTTCCTGCCTCTGATCTTTCCCGCTCCCACACCACCAATCAGTGAGTGCGTATACATGCACCCAATAGTACGATCATAATCAGCTTTCTGCAGTTATCCGATTATTCAATTGGTCATGTAAACACCATACTCTGATCTAGAAATCCGATTAAGAAATCTGATAAAGAGGCTGGATTTTAGCTCAGTAATCAGATATTCTCAGTGTACTCATACTCCAATTTATATCAGATTTCTCAGTCTGCGCAGCGCAAGAACAGACGGTGGATGTCACGAGACGCAGCAAAACACTTTTGGAAAGGTGCTGGAACCAAACACGAAATAAAGGATTTAAATATTCTTCATCTTCTAAATGTTGTATGTTCGTATTTTCAGGTAAAGTGGCGCAATTAAAAAAAAACCCGAGTTTATTGGCTGGTTGTAAAGCAGAAATCTGATTACTGTCTGACTCATGTAGACCCGGAGTTTCCCCATTATCTGACTATTCAAGAGCATGTAAACACGTTGATCAGATTATTGACAAAATCTGATTTTCTGCAGTTATCGGATTATTAAGTGCATGTAAACGCACTCAGTGACGCCTCTAAGATATACATATATACATTGGATGTTTATTTGGCCATTCTGACATGGAATAGATATTTGATGAATCACAATTTTTAATTACCAGCATCATTTAAAAATAACAGCATAATTTGTAAATACCGCACTATACCTTATTTCCATTATACTCCCCAACTGTACTGCAGTACTGTATAACTTCTTCCCCACATCATATTGTTTCAAACTTACTGTTAAACAAATTGAAGAGAACACTAGGATTAAGAAACTCTTTCAGTGGCCTTGGCCGCTTTTTATTATCATTGTACTGTTGTGGGACACAGTGGAGCCGGTTTACACATCCTGAAAGAACTAGACTCTTTTCTTCTTGAAGAATGTTAGTGTACCTCTCCAGGTAGCAGATAGACGTGTGTGAGCTTTTTAAAAAAAGGCTGAACCTCTGTGGTAGGCAATGTGTCTCTACTCTACTTATTTAATCAGTAACGGAAGCAAAATCAAACAACAGGTAAACAAACAAATTAATTAATTAATATAATGACACAGTGGATTTGTATTCACAATGGGTTAATATAATAAAATGCGGATTATACAGTTATAGTGCAGTGGTGGTTGTTGACTCCTCTATAAATGGTGTAAATCTTTCTGATCAGGGTTCTAGAAATAATCAAAAACACTTTTAAACAGTCATACTGTCATACACAAAAAAAACAGTATTTTTAAGTACACATTTACACGTAGGCTATATATGTGCTTTTCAATACAGATATATATACCGCGCTGTAGTACAACAGCGTTTTTGGGCCACTTTAAAAAAAAAAAAAATAAAAATACTAGACTTTGAGAATAAAGTCAGAAATTTTGAGCTAAAATGTCATACTGTATGATATTGAGTATAAAATCATAACATTTCAACAATAAAGTTGGAATATTTAAAAAAAATAAATAAAAATAAGATTACGACATTAAAGTGGTATCAATACCAGGAAAAGACAGCAATATTATGGCCAAAGCGTTTGCAAAAGGAAGGTAGTAAACTCCTCGTGTTAAAATGAGGGGCGTTGAGGTGTTGGTGGAGATAAACTTTCATCATCATCAGCACCAGATTATAATACTATAAGAACACTGAAACAACTGAGCAGGAAACTGTGTTTATTTAGAAGATAGAACAGACGGACTCGGAGGAAACTGTCTGTCTGTTTTGTTGAAGGAGAATCGCAGGCAGGGTCGTCTACATGGCTATCGGTGTTTACGCCTCCATGCCATTTGAAGAGGGAATGTAGTTTCACAGACAATGAAATGATAATCAAAATGATCGTGCTCGGCGTCTTATGGCAGCGCCCTTACAATTAGCCCACTTTATCCTAGAATTTTTGTGAGCTTATTCTTGTAATTTTATGACTTTATTATCAAAATATTACATTTTTATTCTTGAAATTTTATGATTTTATTCTAAAAAAAGTACAACTTTATCCTCGAAATACTATGACTTTATTCTTGGAGTCTTTTATTTTTATGTTTTTTAAAGTGGCCCTAAAACGCCGTCGTACTGTAGAGATCAGTGGAGTTTCAGTGTTTAAACCTGCTGCATGCACAGAAGACTGTTGGATGTCATTTCTTACAATGCTAGTTGACCTTTTTTCCTCCAGTCACTTCTGTTGATCTGTCGATGTATTTCGCAGTTATTATTTTCTCAAATATTTATCTTGTTGTTGTTTATTTTTCCTGCAGTTTATCCACCCGGTTTGGAACAGTGGCCGTTCCCAACATCCTTCTCTTTCAGGGAGCCAAGCCGATGGCCCGCTTTAATCACACAGACAGAACTTTAGAAACATTAACATCTTTCATAGCAAATCAAACAGGTGAGCTCCTCAGGTTAATATGACAGTTAGGGAAGTTCTGATGTTCTTATAGACAGTAATTTTACTGAATCTCCATTTTCTAATATTAAATCAGTAAATTAGTGATTAAGTTAGTGAATGTTTATTATGTTTAAGCTAATGGTGCTAGTTCTAACTGCGTGTTTGATGTGTTTATTTATCAGGTTTTGAAGCGGTTCCTGATCAGATTGTGCGCGAGGAGGATCGTTTAGGACCGTTACTGAGCATCCCAGTGAAAAGTATTGACTGGCTGTTTGTTTTTTCTGTGTTGTTTATTTTTGGGTTTACAATGTACGCCATCCTGCGCACCGACAGCATCCGCCTGCTGATTCCAGGACAGGAGCACGAACACCAGGAATAACGCAGGGCCTCGGATATACCACAGTCACTTCTTACAGCTGCATTAAGAGCCTCACTGTCCTTCATTCATCCTCAAATAAACACCACATCATTACATCAGCTTTAGACTTCACAGAACATCAGCTGCTAAAAGAGTCATTCACACATTTCTACAGATAGTTTAATGTTTATTTTTGGAGGTGTTTTGGAGAGTTTGTGTTATCCTTATAATCATTTTATAATTTCTCTCCAGTCTTCGTTTATTTAAATATGAAGAATTCATTTCCAAACAGCATAGAAAACACTTTTTTTTAAATGTAAAAGATGTGAAGAAATCATTAATAACAACGTTTGCCATTCTGACCAGCTCATTGTTATTTTTACTTTTGTTTGGTGATATGTGATTGATTATTTATTGTGTTAGTTGCTCCTTTCAGCTGATCAGATATTGACCCTCAACTACTGATGAGTAATTAAAAAAAAAAACACATACAAATAAATAAACACTGTTCAAGCCATTCCTGCTGTAACTTGTGTTAAATACAAATCAAATATTTGTTTGTTTTTTATTTGTTTCTATGGTAGGGAGAATCTTAGAGATGATCTGCAGTAAATGTGTATTTTAATACAAACAACATCCAGCTGCAGATCTGCAGATGAATATGAGCTGTTTGACTAAAATCTGACGTTTAAATCATGAAGTAATTTGTATCGTCTCTGCTAAATAAAGTAAGTTGTTGATAAAATACTTAACTTTAGTCATTTTTCTTGTAGGTTTAATAAATAATAAATAGTTGTTATTGTAACAACAATTTATTAGTAATTATTTGTATTTAAAAATAAAAAAATTGAGGTGAACAGTCAAAATTAGTTTAAATGAAATGAGCTCTTCAGGAAGAGTTATTAACAGGAGGAAACAGGTGAGCAAAACTATGAAAATTACATGTAATCCAAAAAAATACAACTGTGTACTGTTAATTGTTCATCCATCATATAGCTGTACAATATTTCACCACTTTAGATCAATCGGAACACGTTCTGTAGCTTTTCCTGATCATATTAAACATAGCTGTTGGATGTGAATGGGTTAATATAGTTACATTACAGTTTAGTCTTTAATAAATGAACTAAACTGTCTCTCTTTATGGCAACATGAACTGATTTTACCATAAATGTAAATACTAAATGTTTATTTATTTATTTATTTATTTTATATATGCAGAGTTAAAAACTGTTGTGCCTACTGCTGTTTCATAGCAGAGTAATGAACAGACAAATTTGTTAAATATTGGATATAAATTATTTGTGAGCCCGTTATGAAAAATGATCTACAGTGATGATAGTCATTTCGACATACAAATATTACATTAAATTTAGACAATTACTTTGATTTACTACAGGATACACAAGTGTCATCGATTAGGTTAACTCATAAGGAAGAAGTCCCCCCAGGGTTAGATGTTTCCCCACCTTATTTTCTCTCCTGATCAAATGATGGGGCCAAATTTAATCTGGACAGATTTACTGGTATTTACATAGTTTATGGTCTAATTAATTATGAAATGTCATCTGGATCGCTGCATTGCTGAGATGACTTTTTTTTATCAATGGCTCATTATAATTGGATAAAAGTGATCTATGCTTGTATATGGAGCCGAAAATGTATAATGGGGGAGGCAACAGAATAGTAAACTAGAAGAGAATATAGACAATGTAAAGACCTTTGGGGTAAGAAGTCACACCAGATACAGGGCAAGCAATAAATAGTAAAAAAATAAATTCTCCATTATATCATTACTTTACCAATATAATCACAACAAGTGTTTAATTTAGAGTTTCTAATTTAGTGTCATTTGTCAACGTTTATTTAAATTAAGTGAAATCAAAACAAACAGAGGCTTCAACCTTACTTAAAAATACAATATTTGTGTTATGCACATTTTTTTAACAATTCAAGAAATAGAGATGATTTGACGGAGTGTTATACATTCTATAAAACATGATGCAAGATTCACCTGTACTTACATCAGGTGACGGAGGGTGTTATTATATACAACAATGATACAGAGTATTATCATTAATTATAGTTTATTTATTACAGAGTTTATTTACACTGCACTTCTGCAGTAAACTACTTAAAAAGATGGTTCTTACAGGGTTCTTTAGTAAGTGGAATGGTTCTATTTAGAACCATGAGTTCTATGTAGAACCATTTGCATGTTTAAATGGTTCTTTGCATGGTGAAATGGTTCTTAAGGTTGATGGAGAATGTGTTGTATGGTTCTATATGGACCCCTTTTGAAAAAGGGTTCTGCTATTGTAACAAGCTTAACATCCTGCACAATAGAAGAACCAAGTAAGCAAGCAGATTGTTCTATATAGTAAGCTTCTAAAAAAAAGCTGGTTCTTAAAAAGTTCTTTAGTAAGTGGAATGGTTCTATTTAGAACTATGAGTTCTTGTAATTCTTCAGGTTGATGGAGAATGTGTTTTATGGTCCTATATGGACCCCTTTTGAAAAAGGGTTCTGCTATTGTTACAAGCTTGACATCCTACACAATAGAAGGACCCTTTCTGGTGCTGTACAGAAACATTTTCAAGAAGGTTCTATATAGAACCACATACAACACATTCTCCATCAATCTTAAGAACCATTTCACATGCAAAGAACCACTTAAACAAGCAGATGGTTCTATATAGTAAACTTCTAAAAAAGCTGGTTCTTAAAGAGTTCTTTAGTAAGTGGAATGGTTCTGTTTAGAACCATGAGTTCTATGTCCTTCTTCAGGTTGATGGAGAAAGTGTTTTATGGTTCTATATGGACCGCTTTTAAAAAGGGTTCTGCTATTGTTACAAGCTTGACATCCTACACAATAGAAGAACCCTTTCTGGTGCTATACAGAAACATTTTCTAGAAGGTTCTATATAGAACCACATACAACACATTCTCCATCAATCTTAAGAACCATTTCACCATGCAAAGAACCACTTAAGCAAGCAGATGGTTCTATATAGTAAACTTCTTAAAAAGATGGTTCTCAAAGGGTTCTTTAATAAGTGGAATAGTTCTATTTAGAACCATGAGCTCTATGTACTTCTTCAGTTTGATGGAGAATGTGTTTTATGGTTCTATATGGACCCCCTTTAAAAAGGGTTCTGCTATTGTTACAAGCTTAACATCCTCCACAATAGAAGAACCCTTTCTGGTGCTATACAGAAATATGTTCAGAAAGGTTCTATATGGAACCACATACAACACATTCTCCATCGATCTCAAGAACCATTTCACCATGCAAAGAACCATGTAAGCAAGCAGATTGTTCTATATAGTAAACTTCTAAAAAAGCTGTTTCTTAAAGAGTTCTTTACTAAGTGGAATGGTTCTGTTTAGAACCATGAGTTCTATGTCCTTCTTCAGGTTGATGGAGAATGTGTTTTATGGTTCTATACGGACCCCTTTTAAAAAGAGTTCTGCTATTGTTACAAGCTTAACATCCTACACAATAGAAGAACCCTTTTTGATGTTATACAGAAACATTTTCAAGAAGCTTCTATATAGAACCACATACAGCACATTCTCCATCAATCTCAAGAACCATTCCACCATGCAAAGAAACACTTAAGCAAGCAGATGGTTCTACACAGAGCTCGTGGCCCTAAATAGAACCTCTCCCTTTACTGAAGAACCCTTGAACCACGTGTTTTAAGAGTGTAGGGTATTTTGTGGTTTTGGTTCAGGCGAGGTGAGAGGCAGCTCAGCGGTCCTGAGACTCAGGCTATGGGCTGGTTAATGTTTACTCCTCGTTTTCAATGGCAGAGAGTTTTTCACAAACAGAGGTTTTTATTTCTGCCTGTAGCTGGAATGGTAAGAGAGCCTGATGGCGAAATAAAGGTTTTGTTGCGTTGTAGGTTGTGATTGTGAACTGTGGATGAAGGCTGCACGTTTCTAAATGTAAACACCGCTTAGCTTCTTTAGCTTCTTTATCGGCTGTTTGGATACAAACGCCTGCAAATCGATCATAACATTGACTAGTTTTGTTAGAGAACTGTATTCTTTTGATTTAGGTGATGTTTTAGGTCTTATTATGTTGGCGAACGTTGCAGCAAAGCTGAAGAAGTTGACTGTGCATTTTCCGTTCTACCTTAAATGGTCCAGCAGTTACATGTAACCGCTGCACCATTTAAGGTGGAACGGAAAATTCGAATGAAAAGTCAACTTCAGCCTCAGAATTTTGTTTATTGAGGTTAAATTCCTGAATCTTTGAGTCTACAGTTATAAAATTCACTCCATGCTGGAGAGCAAGCAGCACTGCAGGAACTTCACTCCCACCTAGTGGACTTCAAAATGCCTGCATAACTCAGTGTTTGAGTTGTAAACAGAGTGATTCAGAGAGGTTTGGTGTGAAATGGTTCAGATGTCTTTACAGTGGTGGTGATAGGAACCAGGGGTCGCCATGACTACAACACAAATATAGACATTTTATTTACTATCCAAAACCACCAGTGAACCTACACGAGTTTTTATATGGAATGTTGATGGTAAAATAGTGGAAAATCTGGGTCGCACTTTATTTGGATGGCCCCCTATAGATGATCTACAGATACTTCAATTATTAACAAACTTTCTGGTGGTACTCAGTTAAGTATCAACAACATTATGGTTAGGGTTAGGCGTAGGTTTGGGTTTAGGGTTAGATTTAATATACTCTTTCACACACAACTTAAAGTTCAGTTGCATTTAATTGACATTCAGTTGAATGTTAGACTGAGTAACTACAAAGCATCTACAGTGGGCTGGCCAATTAAAGTGTTACCAAAATCTAAAAAAAATTAAATAAAAATTGGGGTGGACTATTTTGTCTCACAACATCCTGCATGTATCCCTCCTCCATGAATGGATTTAAATAAATGGATTAAAAATACATTTTTAGGCCAAAACTTTGTTGCAAAACTATCATAAAACAATGTCTCAGGCATCAGGCAGTGAATTCCTAGCCATTTCATGTAGTAACTTTCTGTGAGGGAGCTTTTAGAGGTGGACGTCTGGTTCCTCCAGAACAGAGTGTTTCACACCAAACCACTCTGAATGACTTTGTATATATCTTAACCTTTTAATTATGTAGAAATTTTGAAAAATTGGTGGAGTTCTCCTTTAATCAAGTTAACCATCTTTCCTTCATTATAAGTCTATGAGGTCCATATCCTGCATTTTTCTTGTATTTTATTTTCCCTCTGAGCTCCACTTGTAATGTTTTCTTTATTGCTTAGAATTAAACAGATGGTGCCTCCATGACTAATATATGTATGTTTCAGTAAATATCCAAGAGTATTCAGCGTGTGCTTGAAATGAAGTTCTGAATAAAATGAAAGAAAAAAGTGAAATAAATTAATTCAAAAGGTGAAAATACTTGATTATTGTAAGCTTTTTTCCTAATTACCTCTCTCTCTCTTTTTTATCACATTTCATTCAGCAATTTGAAACAAGTTCAAAGTTAATCTGATCTTTTTTTGTGTGTGTGAACTGATTTCAGTCCTGTCTATACTGAATCAGATATATAATCACTTTAATATTTTTTAAGCATGTACTTTCATAATTTAAATTAATACTCAGCACATGATGTAGCATAATAAATGGATTTCTACAATTTAAAAACTCATTATTTTCCTCTATATTGTTCTGACCCCTTTGCTGTTGCTGCTCTTTTTAAACAGCAGTTGGCGCCAGAATGCTGTTATGTGTTTTGAATGGTTTAATATAAATACGAGCAGGAAAATTGTTCCTTCTGTAATGTGTGTAATGTTTCCTGCTGTAGGTTTTTAAGTGTTGTCTCTGACATTGTAGAAAGATGAAATCTAACAATAGGTGGTGTTTGTGTTTAGGCCACAGACGCGTCCTGGTTGTCTCCAGCAGAGAGAGAGCAGCTGCTGATGGAGCTGAAGGCCACAGGCTGGGTGGAGCTGGAGGAGAGAGACGCACTGTATAAAGAACTGCACTTCAAAACATTCAACCAGGTTCAGTCATCATGACATCTTACTGAGGTCATCCTACTGTTGTATGCAAAAGTTTGTGCACCCAGGTCAAATTTAATTTCTAAGTGAATTAAGCAATAGAACAGGAGAGGGAGTGTGTTATTGCGAAATAACATCAAGGCTGTGATTTAGTCGCAGGTACGAGCCGAAGGCATTTATACAACAGTTAAATAAATAAAGTAAGAAATTAATAAACTGGGCTGTGAACGCGGCGTTTAATATGTTTTAATGTTCGTAGTTCCTTCACCAAATTATAGTTCCTTAACAAGCAGCTTGTTGCTACGTCAGAGTAACGAGCTCCGCCCACTCGCTGCACAGCCGGCAGTTCGTTCTCCAGCTCCTTACACTAAATTCCCAAACTGTCATCACCACTGAGCAGCTTTTCAGTCGGCAGCTGTGACAGAAAAACAGCTGAACAACCTGGAATCAGCCAGAAATGAACCCAACACCATTCGCCAAACGTGTAGTCTGATCTTCAGAGTCTGACTAAATCAGACTGAGCCATAAAACTGCCACAATTTCAAGTTTAGCTCAGTTTTGTCTTTGTTTGCTAGACCAATATTAATGTTGTTTTGTTCCAGCCAGTCTATAAAGCATCTTACAGCCCATTTAGTTTGGCGAATGGTATTGGGTTCACTTCTGGCTAATTCTTCTGTCACAGCTGCCGACTGAAAAGCTGCTCAGTGGTGATGACAGTTCGGGAATTTAGCGTAGTCTCATCTTCAGAGTCTGACAAAATCGGCTGTCGGTCAAATGTGATCTTAAAAGTATCCATTTTCTGTTTGTGAGCAAAGTAAGAAGTGAAAACGTTCAAATGGCTTGAGTGTCTCCTACAGCTGTCAAAGTCATTGCTTAGCAACGGCATTTCAGCGGAGCAATACAGTGTTTATGAAAAAAACGTGATGTTGCGAAATAACAGCACGGTTAGAACGCTTCTCAGTCAGCTTGCGTGGCCAGAACTAACTGTTGTGTAAAGTATGTTAACACATCCTCTACAGAGAACGGCCTCTGCACATTTTAATGCACTGTTAATAACTGTTTTTTTCTGAATTTGAACATAAACAAACTAACATTAAATGTGGCCTGTGCAAAAGTTATGGAACACATATTTTTTCATTATGTTAAAGTAAATAAATATATACATAGAAACTGTGCATTAAATATGCAGAAGAATGTCATATTTAGGGGTGCACAACTCCAGTCCAGGTGGGCTGCTGTTGAGCACAGTGTGATGATTTCTCAGCTCAGACACACCTTTAAACAGTCATCTGTTAATTGCCAGATTTTATGGATGAGTGTGAGTAAGGAAACCACCAAACTGTGCTGGACACTGGCCCTCCAGGACCGCTGTTGTGCACCCCTTCAGTAAAGGATGAGTTAACTTATTTTCATGTTGAAAATCAACAGAACATGTCATCTATAGTAGTACTATATGTATAGATGTTTTTGTAAGTATTAATTCTACACTTATAAAACTATAATCATGTTTTCTGGTAAATGAAGTGCTTTTGCTACACATTGAGGCTCTAGATCATTAATGTTGGTCTGTTCCTTGTTCGCTGATGTAATCTGCTCTATTTTATCCCTTTAGGCTTTTGGCTTCATGTCTCGAGTGGCTCTGCAAGCAGAGAAGATGAATCACCATCCAGAGTGGTTTAATGTTTATAACAAGGTAATAACACCCACCAAGCAGTTATAAAGCCTCTCACAGTGTTTAGTGTAAGTGTAATGAGTTCAGAGTAGCAAATAAACTCATTGCATTTACACTATCAACAGTCACAGTAGACTGTGTAGCACTAGCTCACATTTCACCCTAGATTTCTGAGTTTCAGCAAAAAGAATGGAGAAAATACACCAATCAGGCAAAACATTATGACCTCCTTGTTTCTCTGCATACTTTGTTAGCCCCCTTTTACCCTGTTCTTCAGTGACCCCCATGGACCCTCACAGAGCAGGTACTATTTGGGTGGTGGATCATTCTCAGCACTGCAGTAACACTGACGTGGTGGTGGTGTGTTAGTGTGTGTTGCGCTGGTCTGAGTGGATCAGACACAGCAGTGCTGCTGGAGTTTTTAAACACCTAAGTGTCACTGCTGGACTGAGAATAGTCCACCAACTAAAAATATCCAGCCAACAGCGTCCTGTGGGCAGCGTCCTGTGACCACTGATGAAGGACTAGAGGATGACCAAAACAAACTGCAGCAGCAGATGAGCTATTGTCTCTGACTTTACATCTACAAGGTGGACTGACAAGGTAGGAGTGTCTAATAGAGTGGCCAGTGAGTGGACACAGTGTTTAAAAACTCCAGCAGCACCGCTGTGTCTGATCCACTCAGACCTGCGCAACACACACTTAACACACCACCACCACGTCAGTGTTACTGCTGTGCTGAGAATGATCCACCACCCAAATAGTACCTGCTCTGTGAGGGTCCATGGGGGTCCTGACCACTGAGAAACAGGGTAAAAGTATGCAGAGAAACAGATGGACTACAGTCTGTAATTGTAGAACTACAAAGTGCACCTATATAGTAAGTGGAGCTGATAAAATGGACAATGAGGATAGAAACAAAGAGGTGGTCATGTTATGCCTGATTGGTGTAAACCTGATATTCTCTGGTGAAAATAACCATCTGTGTAGCAGTGAATAAGTAGCTGAGATAAGTAACTGAGAAAAGTAGCAGTGAATATGACAAACAGAACCTGAAATCTACAGAGATCTTCCTTCAGTCTTAAGCCTTTAGCCTCCACTTTCTGAATTTCTGTATGAAACAGTGGTTGAGATGTTATAGTCATGCGGAGTGGTAAACCATTTAATCACAGCTTAATGATGCAGGATTATTTTTTGCATCTTAATATTTTGATTTTCTTTCAGGTCCAGATCACGTTAACAACTCATGACTGTGGAGGACTGTCCAAAAAAGACATCAGACTGGCCAAATTTATTGATAAAGTTGCTCTGACTATGTAGCGCCTATAAAAAAAAGACTGATTTCACATTTATAGACAAGTTTTTTGGCACTGGACAATTTTTAGTCTTCCTTCTTCACTACTGTTCTTTACAACTTCAGACACTTTTAGTAGCTTAGCCTCAGATTAGGGTGAGTGACATCACATGCATTTTTTTTGTGTACAAATCTAGATTTTTCTCATTAAATAATTTAATAAATACATGATCTGTCACATAAGTCTACAGTACATCCTTTATGTGAATGCGGTTTCAGTGCTTCAAAATAGAAGTCATTTTAGGTGTTTATGCTTCCCAAAGTCTAAAAATGTTTGTTAGGGTTAACCCTAACCCTAAGGTGGTGTGACAGCCCAACCATATATGCAGATTAAATAAACTATTAAAAGGGTGGTTTTGTAATATTAAATTCTATAGGCAAGATTTTACGTTTGAAACCTTTAAAATCACGGCATCTTTACAGCTCTGAAAATATTCACCTCACTGAAAAACCTTTGTTTCTACACACTGATTTTTATCATATGTGGTGGCACAACTGACAAAAGGACTTTTATTCTGACATACTTTGAAGAAGTGGGCAGGGTACTGCATCATAAAGAAGACCACAAGTGACTTTCATGGTACAGTCAGCAGCTCTTTCACAAATATTAAAATAAATTTGAGTCATGGTCGGGCTGGTCCAGTTTACCAGGTCAGCTGGAGTGATCACAGAAAAAACATGAACATGTGCCATTATTATAATAATGTTTACTGTGTTTTTTTAAAATGTATGTATAACCTTGACTTCTAGGACAAATGCAAATTGGTGACCAAGTACAAAGACTAGACTGTACACGTTTTCAGTAGTCGTAAGCAACTTAAAAATACAATATTTATTAATTTGTGGTCGCACCACTTGACATTTTCTAGGTTGTAAAATCAACAATCCTGTTTAAAAATAAATGTATAGCATTATAAAAGCTTTAAAACAAACCTTTTGAATAGATTCTTGCAGGTATAAAACAAAAATTCATTTTTAATATTCATTTTTTAATTAATCTTTTTGAAAGCTTTATTTGTCATTGAACCTTTAGCACTTCAAGCTAAATACTGTGCTACCAGAAATTTCTAAAAAAAAATTTTTTAGATCAGTATGAAGCATTAAGAGTATCTGAATTGTATGTACAGTGTTGTGAAAAAGTATATGCATGATTTTTCCTATTTTTCTAATTTGTCACATTCAAATGTTTCAGATCACCCAACTAATTTTAAATTAATATAAAGACAACACGAATAAACACAAAATGCAGCTTTTTAATGATCATTTATTGAAGATAAAGATTTTTTGAAAACCTGTATCTCCCATATGGAAAAAGTAATTGCCCCCCTAAAGCTAATAACTGGTTGTGCCACCCTTGGCAGTAATAACTTCAATCAAACATTTGTGATAACTTGCACTGAGTCTTTTACAGCACTGTGAAGAAATTTTGGCTCACTCTTGCAGAATTGTTTTAATTCGGCTACATTGGAAGGTTTACAAGCATGAACTGCCCGTTTAAGTTCTTGCCACAGCATCTCAATGGGACTCTGAGATGGACTTGCTTGTGTGCTTAGGATCAATGTCCTGCCGCATGACCCAACTGCGCTTGAGCTCTGGGTCACAAACTGACGGGTGGACATTCTCCTTCAGGATTTTCTGGTAGAGAGCGGAATTCATGGTTCCATCCATTATGACAAGTCATCCAGGTCCTGTAGAAGCAAAGTAGCCCCAGACCACCACACTACCACCACCATGTTTTACTGTTGGTATGATGTTCATATGGTCAAATGTGGTGTTAGCTTTATGCCAGATGTAATGGGACCCATGTCTTCCAAAAAGTTCCACCTTTGACTCATCAGTCCACAGAATATTATCCCAGAAGTCTTGGGGGGCATCTAGTGGTTTTTTGGCAATTGTGAGATGAGCCTTGTGTTTTCTTTTTGGTCAGCAGTAGTTTGCACCTTGCAATTTTCCATATCATTTTTGCCCAGCGTCTTTCTTATTGTGGAATTGTGGTCACTGACCTTAACTGAGGGAAGTGAGGCCTGCAGTTCTTTAGAAGTTCATCAGGGTTTTTTTTAGCTCCTGGATGCGTCACCGATGCACTCTTGGTCAAATTTTGGTTGGCCGGCCACTCCTGGGAAGGTTCACCACTGTTCTAAATTTTCTCCATTTGGGGATGATAGCTCTGACTTTGACTCGCTGGAGTCCCAGAGCCTCAGCAATGGCTTTGTAACCCTTTCCAGACTGTTAGATTTCAATGACTTTGTGTAGCATCTTCATTTAAATCTTTTATAAGTCTTACTTTACAATGTGGTATCGTGCTGCTTTTTTTTACATTTTGATGTTATCAGATCAAAACCTCATATCTCCAAAATGGTAACTTTACAGGACAAAGAAAAAACATACTTTACTTTTAATGTAAGTCAATGGAACCAGACATTTTTCCAAGCAATTCTGGGCCATTTCTTTTGGTCCATAAATATATATTTGGTTTAATTCCCTGTTGTTCAGCTTATATTTCATGTATAGCTTAATATTTAAGAGTATTTTATGTATGGTTAATTAGCTAAATCTCCTTAATGCGGCTTCATTAGATTCTAAATATCTACACTGATCAAAATCTTGCTTAGTGATCATTCATGTTTAAGTGGTGGAAGGTAGTAATTAGTAATTGTTTTTATTAGTTTGATTGTGTTAAACAATATTGTATAAAATATTAAGTGAATTCTCGTACTCGAACATAATTATCATTTCCACATCACACAAAAATACTATAAAAAAATACTATGTTAAAACCATTAAAGAAACCTAAAGTTCAGTTTTTTATTCTGACTCTTTATGCAGACAGAACAGTTTCTGAAAGTACTCTGGCTACATCTAAAACAAAAAATATATATAACTTTAAAAAATAAAAATAAATTTAAAAATTCTGATTTTGAAATAATGTTCAAAATTGATTTGTATGTGTTGTAATTTCTTTAATTGTTAAAAATGTTTATACAGTAAATAAACAGAGCCACAAGTAAATGGTTAAATACAAAGTTAAAAACAGATTTTATTGTACTTTATTTTTTAATTGTCAGTTTTTACCATTCACAATCATTTTTTTTTCTGTTGCAATAGTGAGAACTTATCTGGACATATTTAAAATGTGGAATATAGTTATGGTCACAATAATTTCAGACTTTCTTTTTCATAGTCCAGAAACAAACAATAAAAATTCAAAAAGTTCTTCTCAAATGAACTTACATCAGAAATCTGTTTGCAAACTGTACAACAAGAATTGTGCAAAGAGAAATAAAAAGCTTATTGATTATATGGCAAAATGCAAAAGACATTTTTTAAAAAGTCACTTTTTAGCACATTTGATGTAAAATAGTTCGAAGTTTCAAGAAATGATGACAGCTGTGAATTTACTACTGTAAAATGATAACAAACAAAATAGCTAAAATGTATAGTTTCTACACTCATATATTACCAGCTTAGCAGGAGGCTGCTTCGATGTTCTCAGCTGCTGACATTTAGAAAAACAGAAAGAGTTTGTAAAATTAGACTTCATTAGAAAATAATTCTTCTGAAACAGGAAGATTAGAACCTAATGCTAAAGATAAGTCAGATGAGGTGATGATGAAGTTCTCAGCAGATTACACTTCACCCTCACACTGATTTTAAACAGTTTATACTTTACTGTAATAATACACATACAACAGGTTATAAAGAGGAAAAATTAAATGCCATTAAATCCAGTGAAGGTCAGTTTTGACCCCATCCACTTTGCTGTAAAGGTTCTTAACCCCTTAAAAGCTCAGGCTTATTACATACTAAGGCTTATTATTCAGTAACTACAGGGACTTGAGTGCACACTGGTTGAGCTGTTCTTAGGTTAAAGAGGTGTAATAAAACTGGCCTTTTAAGGGACACTACAGGTCACCTGTTCAGCACAGCTGGTAGTTATTTAATTGCATTAGAGGCTGCTGCTCTTCCTCCTGAGATGTTGTTCGGTCAGATGGATCCTCGCAGGCTTTGAGTGAAACGTGTTGCACTGATGGAAGCTTCTGTTGGAGCTCCTGCTGAACGTTCTCATATTGCTGAAGATGAAAACACACTAAAGGTTACAGTTAATATCATTTAACTAATGTTCTCTCCTTAATCGTCAGTGTTACAAGCATATTTTTATTTGTTTGTTTCATGGAAAAAAATGTACGCTAAAGTGTGTGTGTGTGTGTATATATATATATACATACACACACACACACATACATATATACCCTAGTTTAGGGTTCAGTGTTTGAGTAGAGGTTCAATGAGATAGAATTGAAGATTTGAGTTAGGGTTATATCAGTTAGGGGTTAAGTGTTGTAGGGGTCAAGGGTTTGAGCTGGAGTGAGTTAAGGTTCAGTGACTTAGAATTAAGCTTTTGAGTTAAGGTTAAGTGTTTGAGTCAGGGTTCAGTGTTTGAGCAGAGGTTCAATAAGTTAGGGTTAAGTGTTTGAGTAGAGGTTCAATAAGTTAGGGTTAAGTATTTGAGTCAGGGTTCAGTGTTTGAGTAGAGGTTCAATAAGTTAGGGTTAAGTATTTGAGTTAGGGTTCAGTGTTTGAGCAGAGGTTCAATAAGTTAGGGTTCAGTGTTTGAGTAGAGGTTCAATAAGTTAGGGTTAAGTATTTGAGTCAGGGTTCAGTGTTTGAGTAGAGGTTCAATAAGTTAGGGTTAAGTATTTGAGTTAGGGTTCAGTGTTTGAGCAGAGGTTCAATAAGTTAGGGTTCAGTGTTTGAGTTAGGGTTCAGTGTTTGAGTAGAGGTTCAATAAGTTAGGGTTAAGTGTTTGAGTTAGGGTTCAGTGTTTGAGCAGAGGTTCAATAAGTTAGGGTTCAGTGTTTGAGTTAGGGTTCAGTGTTTGAGCAGAGGTTCAATAAGTTAGGGTTCAGTGTTTGAGTTAGGGTTCAGTGTTTGAGCAGAGGTTCAATAAGTTAGGGTTGAGGGTTTGAATTAGGGTTGTGTGAGGTAGGGTTGAATACGATATGATCGAGTATTTCACTTAGGGTTTAGTGAGCTAGGGTTAACTGTTTGCATCAGAATTGATTAAGCTAGGATTGAGCGTTTGAGTTAGATTTGAGTGAGAGGTTTGAGTGTTTGAGGTACGGTTGAGTAAGTTAGAGTTGAGTGAGTTTTGAGCGTTTGAGTTAGGTTTGAGTTTCTGAGTTATGACTGTTTGAGTTAGAGTTAAGTGATTAAGGGAAGGATTCAGTATTATAGTTGCGTAGGGTTGGATGTTGATCTTTTGAGGTGTTTACATTTGAATTCTGGATCTATTTTCAATATATAATGATTATGTAAAGAGGAAACGAGTGAAAATATTCAATCTAGTACTTTGCAACTGATGTTCCTTAATGTTTCTTACTTGGTCGGAGGATTCAGGCAGTAGCTTTGCAATAAGCTGTATGATTTTTCCAAACGTTGGGCGCAAAGTTGGTTCCAGACTCCAGCACATCTTCATAATTGTGTACCTGTGAAAAATGTTTTTTTTTTTTTTTCAATCAGTTAATTTATCATATATTTGCACCAAGCTGTGCTTTCAGGGAGTTTTTATGTAGAACATTGTCACTGTCAAAAGAAAACCCCATAACTCTGAAACAATCACAATGACGTTATTGATGTTATTTAAAAAAATGTGGCTTGCTTTGCAAAATGTACTTTGGTTTATTCATCAAAAGCAGATGTTTTCAAAAAACAAATGACAGTTGTTTTAACTTACATCTCTGGAGGGGCAAAATCTGGTTGTGCCATGTGATATCCAGCTTTGATCATCTTATAAAACCGAGCGTCAACCACAACATCTGGATAAGGACTTCTACCTTTAAACCCAAAAAACAGCAGAGTAATCTTAGAGGTCACTGAAATGTAGAACATTGTGATGTTCATGATGAAGTTAGGAAGCAGGAGAGGCTCACCCAGAGAAAATATCTCCCACAGGAGGATTCCATACGACCACACGTCACTCTGCACGGTGTAGATGCATTCGAAGATGCTCTCAGGAGACATCCACTTAACAGGCAGTCGAGCCTGAACCATGAATCCCACAGATTAGACAGTTTAGACTGGAAAAATCTAGTTTTTATTTATTTCGTTTCTCACTTTAGGCCTATTTAGTTGCTTATTTCATTTACATTTACGGAATTTGGCAGACGCTCTTATCCAGAGCGACTTATTTCAATTACAACAGTGGTGTAAAGTATATATATACCATCCTATAATCATATCCCTGTCTTTTTTTATATTTTAGTGTGATACCAGAATTATAACCCATATATACACCAGAGTTTTAACTCTGCATCAGTTGCATCAGTTGAATGACTGATTGAACACAGGAGTTTTAGCTTTCATGTGCATCCCTGAATGGAAGGAAACCCACACCAGCAGGATCTCACAAACCTGTGTCTGCAGTCACAGCAGGTTGTTTGTGTATACACTAAACAGCCCAAAGCTATGCTAATCACACCCTACATAAGAATATATTTGTGTTTAACAACCAGCTCAGCAGATAGCTAACAGGCTAACCTGGTAATATTCAGAGTTAGGCTTCGAGATGAAATATTTCCTGAAGGATTTACTGAAAAACTGCAAAATAGAAACCAAAAAATGACACTTGAATGTCTGTTTGAGCTTCAAATGTCTGTGTTTAAGCAGAGCTGATAAAATAGTAATAGAAACCCAGTGGTTAAAACTCAGTGCTAACAAAACATCCAACAGAGGCAGATCTTTTAGAGGCATAAATTGGCAGTAGCAGTGGTAGCCTCAAAGCAAATGTTACTAATTAAACACTGCAGTGATATTATATTTTGTCTTGGAGTTGTTTGATCACTTGTTATTTGGCATTTTGTCTGTTGTGATTATGAATGATGTCAAATTTAGTTACCATGCACTCTCCCAGCATAGACAAGGATGGAGTCCATAATAAATACAGGTGGAGCAACTGGTCACAGTGCCCCACCTCATGTATTTACAGACCGTGTTTCTCCAATTTTTCTGTGTCTTGTCTCCAGTCTATTGTGTGAGCATCAATAAGATGGATTTTTTGGGGGGGGATTTATATTGTTGTAATTATATAATAGTGAACACTCTGCTCATCCATACAGTAACCAGATGCACTGTTCAAACTGAACTTACATTTCCTCTCACCACGTAGTTCGAGTCATTCATGATGTCCCGCGCGAGACCGAAGTCGCAGATCTTGGCAACAAAGCAGTCGGTCACGAGAACATTCCGAGCAGCCACGTCTCTGTGAATACACTAAACACACGACAACAGAGAGCAAAGCAGGATCGCACTGTAGAACAGAGTTATTATACACTTCATACATTACAGATAGACCTGGAAATGTTCCCTTTAAGGAGATGACATCCAGTAATGTATACTATACTACAAATAAACATTTTATTTGATTGTTTTTAATTTTGAAATGTAGGAGGAGTCAGTGCAAAAACTCAGTTTTACTTCACTTAATGCACTTTTATGCATTTTGTGCATATTTATGTATTTTTTTAAAACATCATTACACTACACACAAGATGATTCTTCAAGGGAATCAGGGAATCTTCTTTAGTGAAGCTTTTTGAAACTTTTTGAGTATTTAATTGACTTATTTTTTAAACTGGTCTTAGATTTCAGAATATTCACTTCCAAAATAAAAGTGCATAAAAGAGTTCTTTGCGTTATGCCACATTTGGTTTTCTAAAGAATTACTTTTTTGCCACATTTGGTTCTCTAAATAATGTTTTTGTGAATGAGATGTGTCAATGTTTAAAGAACCATATAATGTAAAGATTCTAGGAAGAACTTTTAAATTGGTGTAGAACTTTTACATTATGGATAAGAGTATTTTAAACAGTAGAAAAATACACTTTCCTCTAAATATTACTGCAGAATACACCCTTAAAAATTATGGTTCCTCAAGGGTTCTTCAGTGGTTCATGGTTTTTGAAAAGGGTTCTATATAGCCCCCAAAAAGTTGCTCCATTGTTACAGGCTTGACATCATAACAATAGAAGAACCCTTTTCAAAATGGTTCTATATAGCACCATCTGCAGCACATTGTCTGTCAGTCTGAAGAACCATTTCGCGATGCAAAAACCCTTTAATCATGCAAAAGGTTTTTTGAATGCTCATGGTTCTTCATAGAACCATTTTCTTTACTGAAGAACCCTTGAGGAACCATAATTTTTAAGGGTGTATTCTGCAGTAATATTTGGAGGAAAGTGTGTATTTCTACTGTTTAACATACTCTAATCCATAATGTTAAGGTTCTACACCAGTTTAAAGGTTCTCCCTAGAATCTTTACTTTATATGGTTCTTTAAACATTCACACATCTCATTCACAAAAAAATGATTCTTTAGAGAACCAAATGTGGCAAAATGCAAAGAGATTTTATGCACTTTTATTTTGGAAGTGAATATCCTAAAATCTAACACCAGTTTTAAGTCAATTTAATACTCAAAAAGTTTTTTAATTTGTAAAATGTAATTTCAGACAACATGAACATGTTTAATGAACTCTGATTGATCTGATTTATGGTAATATTACGTTTTTTGAGGCGAGGAATTCCAGTCCCTGAGCCACCTGAGTGGAAAATCGGACTAAATCATCCAGATCCATCTCTCCTCCACCACAGGAATCTACAATAAAGAGTTAAAGAAATGAAAGAACAGATTATCAGGTTATTAAATTACTGTGTCTGTAAGCTGAAGATAATTTTAAAGAATGAAGAGTTTATGTCTCACTCTGTAGACAGTCTTTAACGCCTGACATGTCCTGATAGCTGAGAGAGAAAAAGAGAGAGTCATAACAAATAATAAGAACTGTACATTCAGATACTGAAATCACTGAAACGAGAGGAGAAACTGTGTGGAACGAGCAGCTTGTAAACCTTCAGTCCATTTACATTAAAACATCCTTTACAATTTTGCTTTTTTTGTAATTAACTGAAAAGTCAGAAGTGCGACGTAATTATATTCAAGCATTGCGGCACAACAACAGTAATTACTCTGTGTTTTAATGGTTAAACTGTAATTATTAGATTTTCTCCCTTAAAATAAAGCTGTAATGAGGTTTGTGATGACGTGCCTGTTGACGCTGTGCCGTCCGATCTGACTCTGATGGTCAGAGAGGTTCTTGTAGATGTTTGGAGGACCTGGTTCCTGCAGCATTGCGCTGAAGAACAGCTCTGCTCTTCTGCGCAAGAAGTTCAGCAGATCTCCATGGCTGCAGTACTCAGTGATCAGTAGAACAGGACCTGCGAACACAGTTCAGATATTACACTGTAATCTTAGTTTAAACTCTGTTAAATGTACATTTTTGACCTTGAAAGGAATTATTTTGTATTCCTTTTTTTAGCTCCACTAACCCATAAATGTAGAACTGATTGAGTGCCACATTCCCCCTCGTTCCCTGCTACACCTGTTTTTGACAGATGCCATAATATTTGATGTAATGACGTTTGAATGTTTGATCTATGACGCACGTCGCAAAAATTAGCATGTGATATAAGCTGTTATGATATCAAATTTAACAAAAAAGTTAACTCATTTATTCTATGGTTCTTTGGTTACACCTTGACGTTTGGCCAAGCAATTAGCATTTAGTAGGTGTGCAGTGTGAACTGGTTAAAGAGATATGAGTGTAGTGTCTTCTACTGTATATTATTTTAATTCGCTGATGTTACTATGGAATTCTAGTATCTTAATGTGCTCCAGACATAATTTAGAAGTCTGAACACTTTTTTTCACAGTGTCACCTCGATAAGCCAGCATGTTTCTTTACCTTGTGTAAAAGACTGACCCTCATCTAATGTTCCCATTTGAATGACCGAGGCAGGATGTTTGATAAAACATTATAACAAATCATGTTAATAAGTGGTTATATGGTGTCTGCTTCCTTTGTGCTGCTGACTTTGTTGTACTTTTTTCTGTATTTAAGTTCTTTACACAAATCAACAAAATATGTAACCCCAGGGTGCCTGAACTTTCACATACAACTGGATGTTCATAAAATAATTATATGTATATATGGACACATATAGTCATATATACATATGTAAATGTATATATGTATAAAATATATGTATGAAATAATTCTGCTATAAGTTTTTAAATGGTTTAAAAGCTATTTAAACTGGACAGAGGCTAAAGCTAATGTCGAGTGACTCACCTCCCTGAGTACACGCCCCGAGCAGGTTCACTATATTAGCATGCTGTCCGAGATGACTCAGAATCTTCAGCTCGCACATGAGGGCTTCTTTTTCCTCTGAGTGGGCACTGGCTGTTGGGTTAAAGTTCAGAGGTCACCGGGTGTGTAGACTATCTTAAACCCATGCAGGAAAGACTGCAGAAAAAGTAAAAGTATCTTTCCAAAACATCTACTTAAGTAACATATAGAACTGCAGTGAAACTTTTTTAGAACATTCAGCTTCTTAGAACATCCAGGACAGGAACTATGAGGCTGAAACTGGCTTCTCATTCTAATTTTCCATTCCACCTTAAATGGTGAAGCACTTACATTCTGGCAAATAAGAAGCCATGAAGTTTGTAGGAATCTTTTCTTGTGTTTTTGGATCGTTTTGGTTTAAAATAAAGTGCTAAAGCTCCAAAATGAAATTTGTGAGCAGCAGTCAACTCACATTTAAGCATCTTCACGGCCACCCGAGTGACGTGTTCATCCTTATCCAGACCGTATGCAGCTGCCTCCACCACTTTACCAAAAGCACCCGCACCCAGAACCTGCCCTGTAAACACAACAAAACTTCAATGTATAATTCATGTACAAGATGAATAAACACAGCAAGAACTCAAAGTAGCCCACAAGCATTCACCTCCAATTCATTACATGCTTGTGGTATTTAAACTCCATAAGTATTGTAGTAATATTTTAATTTTTATTGTTAAGTTGTGTTACGTTTTGGACACAAAAACACCCAATAAAATTGTCTACTCAAGACTGTTTACTCTGTGGTATGTAGGTAGATACAGTCAGGCTTTAGGTAGATAAAGTCAAGCTCTCCCATTGGTTAGGACCTCAGGAGCAACACTGAAGCCCTTACACATTATGTTTACTACCAACATAATTGGGAAATGAAAGAGGAATCAACCAGTCATGCTGTGATTTGCAGTGGAACCGATTTCTTTAGTGAAAGTTCTAGATATGTCACTTTTCATTTTCATATGTCATTTTTCATTTCATAATGTGCCAAATGTTTCAATGTGTGACAGGTCTGGACTGCAGGCAGGCCAGTTTAGCACCCGGACTCTTTTACTATGGAGCCATGCTGGTGCAATATGCTCAGAGTGTGGTTTGACATTGTCTTGCTGAAATAAGCAAGGCCTTCCCTGAAAAAGACGTCATCTGGATGGCAGCATATGTTGCTCCAAAACCTGAATATATCATTCAGCATTAATGGCACCTGCTTCTGTCATCAGTTTGAGAAATGAGTAACAATTCACTCTTTCCACCAAACTCTTGGGAAATTGTGCAATTGTGTGAAGGACCAACTGGGTGAACCAGTCTGCTACAGCGCCACCCTGAGGCAGAGCAGTGCTGCTGGGTGAAGCAGGCCAAACAATGAGCTTTCCCTGAATTTGGATTTGAGCATCTATTCCTCCTTAACAGACAGCATAAGGTTATAATAACTTTATTTTCAAGGTTCCTGCAGAACTTTGATTTTGAGACATTCAGGGGGCCCAAGAGTTTAATTAGGAAGGTCCTGGACCCCTCAGGACCCCCTGTATTTTGTACCTTGATTGTGCATTATCATTAATTATTACTACTATTACTGTTATTACTATTATTTTGTTATTACAAATGATACTGTTATTGATATTCACATAACATCTGCTATTATGTACTATTACAGGTCAGAATAAATCAAATGTAATACACAATGAATAACTACTTTAGACTGTAATAAACCCTCAAAGTGTGTTCCGTAAAATAAAGTTACATTAAATAGTATATTACAGTTATGTGGAACAAGCAGTGATCATTTATGTTGTTTTTCATAAAGATAAAATCCACGGTACCGAATGTCAGTCTGTCACGAGGAAACTCCCACCGCGTGTTGTTGTACGGCAGCTGGGTTGGGTCAATGTACGTGTAGTTGTTTCCATCGTTAGCCTCAATTATCTTCCACCTGATTTCATACCTGGGTTTCTTTAAAAACACAAATGCATCTTTAACTTACTGAATAAATGTGTTGAAGTTCTTTATGGAATAATGAGAGATACCTGTTTGCACTTGTAGACACTAATTCCCAACAAAACTAGCAGCAGAGCGGTTATAACTGACCCTCCACTGAGGAGAGTGGTGAACATCTTGGAGCCCCAGTCTTCAGAAGTGCTGCTAAGAAAATCTAAAAACAGACGGAAATATGTTTATGAATTTATACACTGCAAATAATTTCTTTATTCCTGAATGTTTTATCTTATTTAGTTTGCAAATTCTATTGGATTGAAGTACAGCTGAGTTTCTTACAAAGTTCTGCAGTGAAGTATGTTTCACAGCTTTCTCCAACGCTGTTAACAGCCACACACTCCACAGTTTTTCCTGTTATGTTACTCTTTGACAGCCCACTCTCCACCACAGGCCTGAATTCATCCATCGGCTCCAGCGTCAACTGTTTAGCCAGCAAATCCACTGAGTGATTACTGTTACACTGACCACACCTGAAATTACAAAATTTATTAGAAACAACCACCTTCTATTTCCATTCATTGGCCACTTTATTAGAAAAACCTACTTTGTACTTCCATTTACTGGCCACTTTATTAGAAACACCTACTTTATACTTCCACTCACTGGCCACTTTGTTAGAAACACCTACCTTGTACTTTTACTAACTGGCCACTTTCTTAGAAACCCCTACTTTGTACTTCTACTCACTGGCCACTTTATTAGAAACACCTACTTTGTGATTCTGGCCACTTTGTTAGAAACATCTCCTGTTCATCTGTTGCTTCACAGTTTATTACCCCATTCCACCCCATTTATCGTTGGTCAGTTTCTGACCACAGGACTGCTGTTGTCCAGATATTATTTGGGTGGTGGTCCATTCCCTGTGACACTGAAATGGTCGTGTGTGTGGTTTCTAAGTGTACTGACCATATAGGTGCTCTTTGTAGTTCTACAGTTACAGACTGTAGTCCATCTGTTTCTCTGCATACTTTGTTACCCTGTTCTTCAGTGGTCAGGACCCCCAAGGACCCTCACAGAGCAGGTACTATTTGGGTGGTGGATCATTCTCAGCACTGCAGTAACACTTATGTGGTGGTGGTGTGTTAGTGTGTTTTGCGCTGGTCTGAGTGGATCAGACACAGCAGTGCTGCTGGAGTTTTTAAACACCTCAGTGTCGCTGCTGGACTGAGAATAGTCCACCAACCAAAAACATCCAGCCAACAGCGTCCTGTGACCACTGATGAAGGACTAGAGGATGACCAACACAAACTGTGCAGCAGCAGATCGTCTCTGACTTTACATCTACAAGGTGGACCAACAAGGTAGGAGTGTCTAATAGAGTGGACAGTGAGTGGACACAGTGTTTAAAAACAAATGGACTACAGTCTGTAACTGTAGAACTACAAAGTACTTCTATATGGTAAGTGGAGCTGATAAAATGGACAAAGAGTGATACCAGGAGGTGGACTTAATGAAGTGGCTGGTCAGTTTGTATGATTAACAACAAAAGTTCTCAGTTCTGTCTTTGTCAAGTTTTAGAGGCTGAAGAAACCAAAGAATAATGCATTAAAACTTTTGTTATTAGAGTCAAAAGACAGCATTTCTTTAAAATATACCAAGGAAACACCTATTTGTTTTGATAGTTGTTCATTAAAGATTTAGTCACTCTGGAGCGTATCTGAACTAGGCTGATGTTTTGTTAAAAGCTTGCTGATATTATTTAAAATTACGTATAAGATCAAATTGGTGTGTTTATTGCATGTGACTAAAATGCATCAATGCATCATATCTTAAGAAAGTTTGTTGTGAAAATATCTATTGCTGTGTCTTAGATGATATCAGTATCATTTTCGTTGATAGGGGTGTTAATGTCTGTTATACCTAATAAACAAACAGACAAATAAATAAATAAATAGTACATACGTGCTTTGGAATTTCTCACAGTGTTGCCAGCGGATAGTTGGTTTTGGAAACCCAGAGGAGATACAGGTTAGAATACCATTCTTCTCTTTCACCACAACACTGGGCTTGTCTGGAGAGGGAGGTGGGGAATTACAGAGACCAGTTTACAAATTTCTAATATTAAGTAAGTAAGAGATCAATTTCCTCATATATGTATTAGGTTCACTGTGCTCATTTTTACATGTAAAAATATTGATTGGACAAAATTGAAACAACAATGGTGCACCCTTTATCATTGTAAATCACTCTGGATCGGAGTATCTGCTAAATAAGTACATATAAGGAGGACGTTTTTTGAATATTGAATTGTCTCCAGAATTCTGTTTTCCTCAATAAAAAGCAATGGCGTGATATAAAAAAGTTCAAACTTCTTTACATTAAACAGCATGTTTTTGTTTGGAGGAATCATTTACAGTCAAAAGTAATAAATCACAGTATACTGCAACACTTAGCATGTCACAAATACAAAAAAAAAATGCAGTAGTATCATTATCAGGGGTATTGTTATAACATCATATTGTAATATTAGTGTATTATGATGATAGCGTATCAAAATAATACTGTATTGTGATATTATCATACTGTGTATGGAGATTATACCGGACTGTGATATTATAGTACGGGAATCATACTGCATTTTGATAATATTGAATTGTTATATCATATTGTAATATTATTGTATTGTGACAATATTAGAATAATCTTGTTTTGTGATATCATATTGTGATAATATCATGTCATCATAATATTGAATTTGGATAATATTGTATCATAACATTGTATTGTGGCTCAAGTATTGCAATTAGTATGTCTGTTCTGCTCTGGGAGTATTCTTTAACACCTCCTCAGGTAAAGAGGAGATGGAGGAGATCAGCTGAATGCAACCCAATCCTCACAGCAATGTTCAACATCTAGTGTAAAGCCTTCCCAGAAGAATAGAGGCTGTTACTGCAGCAAAGGGGGACCAACTCCCTATTAATACCCTTAATTTCACACTGATTTCTGAAGTAATGATGAGTCTACGGTGATTCTAGGTTCAAAGATCGATGCAGTAAAGTGATGTTTGTACTTACGGTACACGTGGATCTTAAAGTGTGTAGAAACATTAACACTGGAGCTCCTGGCACTGAAGATGTACTGACCACTTTCATCTGCTCTGATTCCTCTGAGCAAGAGGCTGGTCACGTTTCTGTAACTGTTAAACAAGAACATTAGAGGGAAATCTATGTTTCCCTTAATTCCATTTCAGTCATTAACAGGGGTTAAACTGGGATTTCAGAGGTGGAGCACTCTTAAAAAAGATGGCTCATTCTCAGCACTGTGGTGTTTAAAATGGTTCTTTATATTCTATATAGAACTGTTTAACTCAGATTAATCAACTGGACATGATTAGTGATCTAGGTCGGCTCAACATATGTGACAATGTTCAATAATTAATTATTAGTCCCACAACGGGGAAATTCACCTCCACATTTACCCCCCTGTGCAGTGAAACACCCACATACACACTAGTGAATGCACACACACTAAGGGGCAGTGAGCACACTTGCCCAGAGCAGTGGGTATCCCTATCCACAGCCCCCAGGGAGTAGTTGGGGGTTGGGTGTCTTGATCAAGGGCACTTCAGTCTAGTCCTGTCAACTCAGGGGATCAAATCAGCAATCTTCCGCTCCCATGGCTGGTTCCCTAACCTCCAGCCCATGAGTGCCCTGATATCGGAGGGGAGTAACTCCCAGCTGGATAAATAATTCATTATTTAAAAAATAATGATTATTATTATTTGTTGATTATCAATTATCATGAAACTTGAATTACAAAAAGGTAATGAAAACACATCACTGATATGCAATTATTGTTGTAGCAAGTAGTCTATTAGCAGTGCAGGCTAATCATTTTGTGTTATGAGTAGTTTGAGAACCCAAATTCTGACAATCAGAGGATCATACTTAATATTTGGCACAAGAGAAAGCGAGGGTGGGTGAATCCTCATCAACAAAGAAGCACAAACATGAAGAAGCGAAATGAAATTGAGGCAGACAATGGCAGAAAACAAGGATAAACACTGGTGTGGCCTTATATGGAAATCATTAACAAGGGACAAATGTTTTTAGAGTGATGCCCAAGTTGCCTGTTTTCTGCTGGGCGTGTAATTTAGCATACCAATCTACCTGACGGCCGCCATAGGTTCTACTACACGCTTGGAAAGGGAGGGGTGAGTGAGGGGTATTCAGTTGGTCGCATTTTGCAACATAACCGTTACATCTAAATAGAATCATTGCCTTTACCAAAGAACCCTAGAAGAACCATCTTTATTAAGAATGCTTCACTTTCGAAATCCCAGATTAACCCCTATTAATGACTGAACTGGAATTAAGAGAAAAATCTCTCACTAACTTGATTCCATTAAATCTTGCACACTTCACTTTTACATACTCTGATCAGTCAGCGAGAAGTGACCATGATTTAGATTCTATATGAGTTTTATAAACCACTGAAAAACCGCCTCAAATCTGAATACATGCTAACTCAGCTGTATTAGTCTTATCAGGGCAGTTAAATAAGTATGCCGTCCTTTATTCTCAGCAATAAATGCAGAGGAGAGCAGTTAGCTAACAATCCAGAGCAGCAGGAGAATCACTTGGACTTGGACGACAGCGTGACCTATGACTATTGCTGAGATATTACCACCTCTCTAGTCCATGATTTTTGGAGTCTAACAACCCTCGGAAGACGTGGTAGACATCTGAAAGCAGATCTCATCTAACCTCCTCTCAATCCTGTAAAAGTTCTCCTCATAGATGGATGAATTCTGGGTTCTGGGGGTACTCCACCACTTTTCCTGGATGGGAGGATGAGCATCAATCTCCACGCTGAGCTCCAAAAGCTCTCCCTCCATCACCTTAGCATCAGCACCAAACTGCCGACCTCTCAGCTTCAGTACCGGAGTTAAATGAATGTATGGCTTATCTGTTTTAAAAAAAAAAAAAGAAACTTGAGCACAGTTAAAATGATAATAATAATAATAATAATAATAATAACACATTTCAAAATTATCTTTTTTTAAATTAAAAAAGTAAAAATGTATAAAAAGGATGTGATATGCATTTTTGTATCTACAAGAATCACATTCTTGGATTTAATGATTGATTTTTGTTTCATAGCTTTTAAAATAGTAAAATTCATTTTTAAACAAGATCACAAGATCATTTATGTTACAAATATAAATGTTGATTGATATACACACTCAATTCCTTGCAAATGCAAACAAAAACTAAAGAAGTGATTCATACTTTTGCCTCGATCTGTATTTGTACAAAAAGATTTGTACAAAAGATATTCAACGGAAACATATCTAATATTTTATCGCATCAACTTCTTAGCAACTTGTCAGCAGAGGGCAACGGCGGCGAGGTGCCATAAGTTCAGGGAACTCCAATTCCCAGAAGCCTTCGGGCCGATTAGGCCCAACCTGACACACCTGTGGACACCTCTACTTAAGGCTGTTGCAAACAGCAGCCCTTTGTCACACCTTTGTAGAGGGCTGACCGGTATGGTACTTAGCCCAGGTGGGTATTTAAACAAAAAGGAAAAGCGAAGAGGGCTGGAAAAAACAAAAAAGAGAAATTGCCCCAAAACTACTTAAAAACCAAAAGAAGCCTTGAACAACAAACGGTTCCAAGCCCAACAAAAGGTGTTTGCTCCACAAAGAGCAAATAGATGAAACATAAAGCTTATCTTCCTCTCATAATCACAGGGGAAGTATTTTTTATTTTTTTGATTATCTTTTATTTTACTTTTCTAGTTCATATTTCCGTATTTCCCATTTGTCGAGGTGTTTTTCTCAGTGGCGCAGCAGTAACTTCTCGGACCGCCAATCAGTACTTTGGCGGTTCAAGACTGGCTCTGGGTCGCCTCAACTCCAATGTGCACAATCATCGAAATCACACTCCATCGCCTTAATAAATTAATTTACACTTTCTCACAGGTTTTCCCCTCTGCTCTTGGGTCCGCCTACCTGCTGTCCCGTAACAAGGCCTTTAAGAGTGAGGATGATTTGAAGCAAAAATCCAACAGTTTAACAATTGCAAGTTAAAACTGTACTATGCACAGTAGAAGTCATATATCAACGACGTCCAAAAACGCCGCCAACTTCTCTGGGCTTGCGCTCATCTGAAATGGACTGAAGCTCAGTGGAAATGTGTACTGTGGTCTGACGAGTCAACCTCTCAGATTATTTATGGAAATAATGGATATCATGCTCTCTGTTTTTTCTTTTTGCCAAAGAAGAATATTTATATACATAAATATATATTTTTTTGCTTTACTTTATACTGTATTAATGATCTAGAACATTGTGGACTGCATTCTGTTCCTATAAAGTCTTGTTTACTGTTAACATTGAAAATCCAACACAGGCAGAAATGCACAGTTCCTTAAGTTCTAGTGTGGAACAATCTACCTCTCTGTCTAAACATGTGACATTACAGTAAATAAAAGTGTCAGTTTGTTTGAGTGGTCACTTATAATTCCAAATAATTGTGAGATATTTTACTATGTCCTTTATCAGCGTAATATCTAGAACCGGTTTGCATTCCAGTGTAATTTTATTAGACTGTCTGCATACTTACCATCATTTTACCCAAAATAATAACCAAGTACTTTGGAGAGTGCTTATCTGATTAATACCTAGAACTGAATGAACTGTAACAGAAAGTGTAAATAAACAGGGTTTAAGACTTCTTCCCCGTCTTCCCAGTGAAACTCACCTACAACTGTGAGTGAGACCGTGGAACTGTTCTCTCCATGTCTGCTCCTGCCTGTACAGGTCAGATTTCCAGTGTCCGACACACTGACCTCAGGAAGGGTCAGAATACTCTTGATATGAACCAGATCTTGGCTGCTACTCACTATGTCCTTCACATGCAGCATCTATCAGACACAATTATAATAAATAATATGAAAACAAACACTATAAATCTATATACTGAATCTTCCTGTCATTCTGCCACAGTTCTGGAGTAGAACATAATCTCTTTTAGACGACTTCATCACCAACAGCTCCACACCACAGTTCACCATTACACTACTGATCAGTGTTTAATCATACAAAACCTATTCTGTTTCAGATAAATGCATAAACGATTGTAATCTGCTCATCCATAACAACTTCACAGGTCTCAGATAATCAGTAAGTCACTCAGGAGCTGTACATAAAAATTAAGAATTTTTAGATGTATTCAGAATGATGAACAGATCTGTAGAAGATTCTAAAATGACTGAGAAAGAACATCAGTGGAACATCAAAAACATGTAATAGCTAAAATGAAGTTCTAATAAAATGAATATCCCGGAAGAAGTTGGAAATAAACTTAGTATCCAGAATAAAGTTTAGTTACCATGTATGGATTATATGTGCTGGGAAGTGAAAGATATGTTTTAAAACTTTTTGAAACTTCAGTGTTTGAATACTACATTGTTCTAGTTTTCTGTGATATGGGCTCTTTAAAAATAAATTTATTTTACCTTAATTGCTGAATTGTGCCAGGTGACAACATAGGCATGGTTTTGGTTTGTGGTGTAGCAGGAGATCTGCAGAGTTTCTCCAGCAATCCGAACATATTCATCCATATCAATAAACACAGAGGGAGGCCTTAGTCCTGAAATCAACATTCACCAATCAACATTCATTAAACATTCAACATTCACCACCTAACATCACCATCAAACAATCAACATTCATCAATCAATATTCATTAAAAAGTCAACATTAATCAATCACCATTTGTCAATAAACATTCACCACACAATCAGCATTCACCAATCAATATTCACCAATCAACATTTACTAATCAACATTCACCTCACAATCAACATTCATCAAACAATCAGTATTTACAAACAATAAACATTCATTAAACAATCAACATTCACCACACAATCAAAATTCACCAATCAATATTCACTTATCGGCATTTACTAATCAACATTCACTACACAATCAACATTCACCACACAATCAACATTCCCTAATCAATATTCACCCATCAACAATTACTAATCAACATTCACCTCACAATCAACATTCACCACAAAATCAACATTCATCAATCAACTTTCACCATACAATATCCACCGGTTGACTTGCTAATGAACATTCACCTCACAATCAAAATTCATTAAACAGTCAACATTAATCAATCACCCTATGTCAATAAACATTAATCAAACACTCAACATTTACTAATAAATATTCACCAATCAACATTTACCAATCAGTATTTACCCATCGACATTTACTAATCAACATTCACCACACAATCAACATTCATCAATCAACATTCATCAATCAATATCCACTGAGTGACATCTACTAATCAACATTCAAATCACAATCAACATTCATCAAACAATCAACATTTACAAACAATAAACATTCATTAAACAATCAACAGTCCCCAATCAGTATTCACCCATCAACATTTACTAATCAACATTCACCTCACAATATCCACTGATCGACATTTACTAATCAACATTCAACAAAAAATCTATATTCATCAACATTCACTAAACAATCTGTATTTACCCAGCAACATTCTTCAATCAAGTGCTAAGTGATCAAGATTCATCAAAAAAAATCAATCAACATTACTCAAATAACATTCATCAAACAAACCACATTCACCATTTGACATTAAAACAAATCAAACTTCACCAATCATCATTCAACAATCAACATTCACCAAACAACAATCATTCAACAATCAGCATTCACCAAACAAAAATCATTCAACAATCAAAATTCACCAGTCACCATTCATTAAACAATTAACTTTCACCAATCATAATTAATTAACATTAATCAAACAACTTTCTTCATACAACATTCATCAATCAACATATCAGTCAACATTCACTGATCAGCATTCATCAATCAACACAACAATCAACATTCATTGATCAGCATTCATCAAGCAATCAAGTCACCAACTAAATTTAAGTAAGAAAGTCAGGTAAGAAATTAAATTAAATTAAATTAAATTAAAAAGTATTGAATGTAAAGTGGAAGTAAAATAAATCAAAAAACCCATGTGAAAAAGATTTCACTCACTCTCCTGGACCGTGATGGAGTAAACTGTGGACAGTCGTTCAGTCTCATTAACCCTGATGCTGCAGACGTATTCTCCGCTGTAGCTGAGCTGCAGGTCATGGATCAGGATTCCCTGTCTGGGATCTGCAGTGTAGTTCAATTCAGGATGAACTGGAGATCCATCAGCTGATCGTAGGGAGAGCGCTGTGGCTGTGGGGTCAGTGGGACGACAGTCCAGCAAACAGGATGACCCTTCTCTCTCTATAATCACTTTTTTGAGAGATTTAGTGAAGAATTTAGCTGGATCTGTGGGAGCAAAACAAAAAAGTTAGTCAGCCAACTGACTGAGCTTAAACTGTGAAATAAGATCAAAACATAATTCTGAAATATCAGACTGTACAGGAATGTCAGGTCATTTTTAGTAATTTATATTGATCACGCAATCATTTACAGTAGACACTGATTAATTCAGAGTAGTTACTGAACATTTCATAGTGGTTACTGAATAATTCATGGTGGTTACTGGATAATTAATTTTAGATACTGAATAATTAGTAGATAATGTATAATTCACAATAATTACCGAATAGTTTTTAGCGGTTCCTGAATAATTCATAGTGGTTGCTAAACACTTCATAGTAGTTATTGAATAATTCATATTAGTTACTGAATAATTAACAATTCTTACTGAATAGTTTATAGCAGTTCCTGAATAATTCATATTGGTTGCTGAATACTTCAGACTAGTTACTGAATAATTTATAGTAGTTACTGAATAATTCACAGTGCTTACTGAACATTTCATAGAGGTTACTAACTAATTCATAGTGGTTACTGATTTATTCATGGTGGTTACTGGTTCATTTATTTTAGATACTGAATAATTTATAGCGGTTATACAATAATTCATAGCTGTTACTAAAGATTTCATAGTAGGTACTGAATATTTATAGTGGTTATGGAGTAATTTATAGCAGTCACTGAATATGTAATAGCAGTTGCTGAATATTTCAAAGTAGTTACTGAATAATTTATAGTAGTTACTGAATAATTCACAATACTTACTGAAAATTTCATAGAGGTTACTAACTAATTCATAGTGGTTACTGAATTATTCATTGTGGTTACTGGATCATTTATTTTAGATACTGAATAATGCATAGCAGATTCTGAATAATTCATAAATATTTAATAGTAGGTACTGAATATTTCATAGTGGTTACAGAGTAATTTATAGCAGTTACTGAATAAATAATAGCAATTACTAAATAATTCATAGTAGATACCGAGTAAATTCTAATAGATAATGTATACATTTTGAGGTTTTGGCAATAGTGGTAATATCTGAAGGTTAACATGAAGTATTCTGAAGAATTAGTGGTTAACATGAAATCCGGCTTCTCTGCTAACTGTGTTTATCTTGGTCTTGGATTTAAACACATCAACCAAAAGAAGATAGAATGTGACTCATGCGAACATCTGCCTCAAAGTGGCAGCTCAGCTAACATCTGCTTTTTGGAAATGAAGTCAATCCGCCAAGACTTGTTTGGTGTCTAGTTTGCTTCTTTAGTTTTAGAACTTGAACTGCACGGCTAATATAGCTAACAAGTAATGGAAAATTATGCCCTGCCAATTAGCATGGTGCCAACTGCATGTCTAAGTATAGATAACAGTACATCATATGCTTCCGTTCAGCAGGAAGTATCTATAACAGTGTTTCCCAATCCTGGATCTTTAGTTCCTCTGAGCTTCGCTCAGTGTTTTCCTGTTTGAAGATGACGATTAGCAATTCTGCACATGAACACAAAACCTAATTTAGCCCCCTGTTCTTCAGAATTCGTGGTAATAGAATGCCACAGTCCTGCATCTGACTTTACAGCTAAATAGACTTTTAACATTTTAGCAGACTCTCTTATCCAGAGTGACTTACAATTTTACATAGGTAGGTGCAGGTAGTGTTAGTTCTTATATAGTGTAGTGTGTTTACCCAGGTGGGGATTGAACCACAGTCTACAGCACAGAAGGTAGAAGTGTTACCCACTGCACTACACCAACCAACAACAGATTTCAAAGTATATTTGGTCTGTATCTATCTGAATGGCTTTGATGAATCTCATGCAATTTTTATTTCGTGTCGATGTTTTTGGCCTGCAGATGAAACTGCACCAGCTAAATAACAATGAGCGAGCAGTATTTACAACCTGAGCATCCCTTAACAACAGTCCCACAGTCAGAAATGCCTCACCCACTACCAAAAGCCAGTTTCTACATATTTTTTTCACTAGTTTAACGTCACGCAGGAATTTAGACAGGAATTCACGCCTATCAGTCAGAGAGTCAAACAAATATTTTTCATGTAGTGTTTTTGCTCTGGACTCTTTGCACTGAGGATTTCCTCAAAGGACTTTGAATACGACTTCTTCCAGTTAATATTATCACCAGATGTGCCTAGTGATTTTAATAGATTTTAACTTACTGAAGATTTTAAGCTGAGTCTGCTGTTAGTGGAACTTTTAAAAATATTTGGAATCTTAAAATATTTCTAATATTTTCCATGGCTAACATTTCATGTAAGCAAACATTATGTCATCTGTCATAATAATTACCATTAAGGGCAACATAACACTGGTCAATTACTGAAGTAGATACTGAATAATTCATAGTGCATATGAATTCTATACTTCAAAATAGTTACTGATTAATTAATAGCGGTTACTAAAAACTTCATAGAAGTTACTTAACAATTCATAGCGGTCACTGAATAATTTATAATGGTCACTGAATACTTCATAGTAGTTACTGAATAGTTCATAGTGGTTACTGAATACTTCATAGTAGTTACTGTATAATTCATTGTGGCTACTGAATAATTCATAGGGGTTACTGAATACTTCACAGTGTTCAGTATCAGTTGTCATAACAGATTCATATTGTTATTGAATCTGTTATGACAACTGATGACAGCATATGACCTGGTACGTTTATAGCACGGTTATGTCATTGTTACGGGTTTGAGTACAGTGTTACCCTTTATGTTTGGTCAACACATTAAAAAAAGGCAAAAGAAAACAGCTAATTCTCTTTATATTTTCATGCCTCTCACTGATGGTTGAAATAGTTCTTATAGTAATTTATGAGCTGTATTTTAAGTTTATGAAGCCATGACTTTGGTGACCCATGTGTTGTGCTTGCTGCATTTAACGAACGCTGATCTGAACACGCTTACCTTTCACAAAGATGTGGAGCTCTGAGAACAGCTCAGTTTGGTTCTCATAGCTACACCTGTATGTTCCTGTGTGGTCTGCAGTGGAGTTCTTAACAGTGAGAACATTTTTTGAACTGCGAATTCTGTTGCTGACTCTGGTCCTCCAGAAGACCTTTGCCTGTCCTTGACAACTCAGAGAGAAACTAGTTCCTGGCAGAAGAACAACTTCAGTCTTCTTCAGTGCGCTGGAGTTCAGTCTGATCTCAGGAAGGTCCAGACCTGCTGAGAAACACAACAACAGGAGAAAGAACAATACAGTGTGTTTCCACAAATGAGTTTATAATAGTTAATATCAGCTCAAAAAGAACAGGCAGACTATGGGGGGAGAAGCAGGGACTGCACATGATAAACTAATTCATGATCCATTTATTTTTAATAGCATCTAAAATTAATTAATGTAATAAATCTGATTTATGTTTTTTAAGGTCGTTTAGCTCAAATTGCTTCATCCTGCATGTGAAATAGTTGTTGTTGCAATGTTGTAGTTATGTATGCGCAAAATGAAAAGACAGTGCACAGTTGTTTAATAAGCCCTCTTTTTATTTTTATTTTTTTTCTTCAGTTACAGAATGAGATACAATCAAATCACAAGCAAGAAAAGATCTGTCAATAGCTTATAGAGCATGAAGCTCAAAATTGTGATCGTATGTATTAGCATAACAAACAGTATTTCTAGTTAATTTTCAGATCAACAGTGACTTCAAACTAGTACAGAAGATACGGATGATCTGACGATCTTAAGATGTTAGTCAAGGTTAGCTTCAGGGTTGGTTAGCTTTAGCTTCTGTTGGCTATTGCTTCTTGGTCATCTCCTGGACCTGGGAGCTGATCCGAGACACCTGGAAGAGCAAAGCTTGATGGTTCTCCACCAGAAGGCTCTGATGGCGCGCCATGTTGATCAGATGATTGAGCTGCTGCTCCTGCTGGTCCCTCATCACGCGGAGAACTTTCAGGATCTCGGCCTGACCGCTAGCCACCTCTTTGTTTTCCTGGACCAGTTGAGTCAGGACTTTGACCATTTCGGCGTACCATCCTCGGGTCTCCTGCTGTTCCTGGACCAGCTGGGCCAGCGACTGTTTCAGCTCATCTGTTCCACAGCACTGAGAAGCTGGAGGTGGCTGAGATAGACCCTCAGAGCCTTCGGGAGTTGAGGGCTTACTCCACTCGCCCTGTGGGGAGCCCTCTGTCATATCATACGGGGTGATTACATCTTCATTTGCTAAAAGGAGCACACATACAGCAGGGCTTCAAAACTTTCATCAGTCAGCAAATTCGAAAAAAAAAAGAAAGACAAGCTGTCATTGACCAACAGAGTGGCTCAAATTAAAGAAGCTGATTGAAAAATGGTGAAAAAATGTAACACTGGACTCTCAGGCTGGTAAGTTGGTTTGGGAAACGCTTCACAGATTACCTTCATAGAGACTTCGTAACACATGCATTAGCTTTGAATAACATATTTATAAAGCAATACTTGAGATTTATGAATTAATGAACAGCTTATGCCATTAATTGTTAGAGTAAATGACATTGTGTTGATATAAGGGGTCTTAAACTAAAATGACAGGCATTTGATTCATTTATAACACTGTTATGAAGCTTCATTCCCAGATGAAGGAACTTAGGCAGAGGCCAAGTTATGAGCTCCATATATCAGTTCTGTTTATTTCTTCTTAAGTGAAAGTGCAAAAGGACAGTTTCTATTAAGTAGAACTGTGTTATCTCTGCAGCCACATAGGCCTTCATAACAGAAACTGTTCATCAAAATGATTTATAGCAATTAGTTTTGATACTTATGTACTTATGTACATTTAAAAGCAAGATATTCGGTATCTATAAACGTGTGTACGTTTGGGAAAATATGTGTGAAATTATCACTCATGTTTAAAATCCTCCATAGAACTGATAGAAGGTGCTAATAACTAGGCTTGGCTAATTTTATAAGTGCCATCACTTGGGAATAATGCTTCATAACAGTGTTATAAATGGATTTCTATTACTTTAGTTTAACTTAAGTTTAGTGTCAACATAAGGCCATTTACTTCACAAAATGTCTTTTATAAGTACTCAAACTTTATTTTATGAATATGTTGTTCATTGCTTATGCCTGTGTTATAAAGTGCTTATGGATGTGGCCTTCAAACAAAGTGCTGTAGTGGTTTTTAGTGTCTTTATATGTGTTGCACCTGAACAAAATGTTACATCAACACAATTGCTGTCATTTAGTTTACTTGGACAAGAACAGTGTTGATGTGACACATTATAATCATTTTATTTCAGTGTAGTGCTAAAGAGCTGGAATAAAAGCTTTTATTGTTGTTATAAACCATAATGCTGATGTCATATATGTTCGTATTTAGGAATGTGTGCACTGTGTTTTGGAGCTGATGGTGTTGAGACACTGTTTTTTTTTTTTTCGGAGTGGAGGGCTGATTGCTCAGTGTGATTATTTCTGTCCTGAGGAAAAGGGGAACAGGAGAGGTGTTGTGAGGACTGTTTTGGGTTGGGGGGAAATGTCTAAAACGTTGTAACAGAACACACGGAGTGTGCCAGGAAACACATTGCAGTGGGAGGCCCAGAGAAGAGCCTGCTCTCAGGGGGCTGTTTCCCATTCCCACTTTCACTTCTCTTTCAGCGTACACAGGACACGCCAGAGCCAGACGCTACTGTTACAGCCCCGGCCTCCAAAACCACAGAAACCCACAAACCCAGCACACCTGCCTGCCCGGACCACCGAGGACAATCACACCTTCACTACAGCGCCACCACTGCCGCGTCTACTGCACGCATAAACATCATAAACAACACGTCTCTCGACTGAACTCTCGGCTGATCGTCTAACAGAGAAGGCACTTTTAATCAGCACCTGTAGCGATAGTGATGCACTGACCTTGTTTACTGATGGGCAGGAAAATGCAAAAAGAATAAAATGTGGTGTTTTGTTTAAAGTAAATGATGAATTTTATTCAGACATGTGAATTTAGGGCTCTTCTTTGCGGCTTTGATCAACAGAAATCTTCACCCATATTAAATGCTGAACAGCTGCTATTCTAGATAAAACTGGCTTATATAACCATATACATAGTAAAATAATCAATTCATGAAAATGAAGTACAATAAAAACATCAGTTCAACTTGTGAAGTAACAACGATGGAATTTCCACTGTTAAAAGTTTTACTACTACTAATAATAACAATGATAATAATAATCACTCACCTTGGACAGTGAAGGGCAGCAGAGCGAGGAGCAGAGCGAAGGGCAGCATCTCTCCGTTTCGTCTTATTCTCCTTCTTCTTCACTCTCAGTGATCTGCTCAGTTTTGGAGCTTCAGGGTAACTAAGCGTCCGCTGAAGACCTGCAGCTCTAAAAACCCTCAGACTTCCCCTTTGCGCAGAGCACCGAGGATAACACAGCGCAGAGCAACGTAAACAGATCTCAGCTTAATATACAGAAAAACTTCGTGAAGTCTGAGTATCTGATTATAACGATTGATGATTTAGCCAACAGTGCTTTCATTAATAACAACACTTCACAAACTACTGCAGCAGAAAATCTCTATTCATATTAAATTAACAATTAAAACTACATTAATTCACAGGTAAAGTTAACTAGCAGATAATTCCTTAATTTATATGAGTAAGTGAATTAAAATACAGATTAAAAATGTCTAAATAAGAGTCAGTTCGGCATTAAAAAAACACAACAAGCTATTTTTATTTGACAAAAATAGGTTTTATTCAATCCAAATAGACACTTTGGATAAAACAATGAAAAACAAAATACATTCGGTGTGAAACAGGAGTTCGTGTAAAATATTTTAAGTATTTATTTAAGTATTTATCTGAGCTGAATAAACAGTTAAACTGCTTGTTTCCACATGAGCTTCTTCTTTTTAGGCTGACCTGAACTTCGTTCTGTTCCACTCTTTACGGTCTGATCTGAGATAAAACATCATTCAGGAGCTTCTACAATAAATACAGAAGCTGGTTTGAGATCAAATTCTCCTAAATAAGAATATAATGTTGATTGACAAAAGAAACACCTGCCACACTATAAAACAGCCTGAAGCAGACAAATGATTTAGTTTATTTATTTTTTTCTGGAGTAGATTTATGAGAAATTATACATTTGTTTATTTTTTTCATTTCATTTCATTTTGATCATTTTTGTCCACTCAACTCAGTAAACAAAACACAGGAGAGGGAAATGATAAGACCATAAAAATAAAATAAGAGTTAAAATGTAGAAGCATCAGTGTTTCTGCAGTAGTGGAACCGTACTGTGTTCTCCCTACTAGAACAGAATCTTTATTCTCTCAATCACTAACGATGGACATTTCCAAAGAAAATAAAGTTTTACTAATCCGTTTTTAAAAGTAAGTTTAATGAACAATGAACAATGAACAAGACTCATGCAGAATGTGGAGTTAAATCCAGTGGACCGGTCGAATCAAACTTCAAAACACAATATTAATTTTCATATTTATGCTGATCACATGCATTATACATTTCAATTTTTTCTGAAAGTCAAGACTGTTGACAGGCTGACCAGCTGTGTGTCACATATTTCTCACAAAATTTTCTACAACTAAATGAAGAAAAAACTGACATACTGATTGTTGGTACTAAAACTCAGAGAAAGCTGCTTTATGAGAAGCTCAGCTCTTTAGCTTCATACACCAAACCTGAAGTGTGAAACCTGGGTGTGATCTTAGACTCTGAGCTCTGTTTTATTCCGCACATAAATGCAGTCACTAAAATAACTTTTTATCATAATATTCGACCCTTTTTATCTCAGAGCAATGCAGAAAAACGTGTTCAGGCAGAGTCAATCACTGTAATGTTCCTCTTACTGGAGAAAACAATCCATCCATCCTCTATAATCCATCCTCTACAAAATGCAGCAGCACGAATCCTAACAATAACAAAACAGAGAGCTCACATCACCCCAACCTACATGCTGCACTGGCTGCCTGTATCATTCAGGATAGATTTTGAAGTTCTGCTACTAGTTTTTAAGGCTCTAAATGACCTTAAAGCATCGCTTACATCACAGAGTGTCTGTCTGGTTATGCGGATCTGCAGATACCGACCTTCAGCAAACACCTTCTGTAAAATACAGAAAACGTGGAGAGACTCACCTTTTATTAGACAGTCAAGCTCAAAGCATCTGGACACGTATTTTTAATTTAGCTTTTAAATACAGTTCTCACTTTTTTTTGTATTTATCTTTTAAATTTGCTGTGTCATTGCCTTGCATGATGTAAAATGAATACTCATAGTTTTCTCAGCTGTCCGTAAAGCACGTTGAGCTGGTTCCACTATAAAGTGATAAAATTGTATTTCT